TCACGGGAATATTCAACAACAGATTGAGCATCTTTCTTCATGTGCTACAATTCATCTTTTAAACGCAGCTCCCGGGATTTGAAACGATATCTGAAGGTGGTCTCCAAAGTGGACTAGACTACATACGAAGAGGTCAGGCCAACAACAACAGACAGGGCTTCTTCCATCAACGAAGCAAGGAGGAGGCTTAGTACAAGTTGATCGGTCTGTTGCCATTGAGTAAATGCTGGATTGACAGTGGCAGAGGCACCAGAACCGATAGTTGCAGAAGGAGGTGTGATGGAGCCATCAACATATCCAAGGAGATGTTGACACTACAGTAATGGCAGTACTTGACTACGCCAGAGGAGAAAGTTGGAAAAAGATAACTTGATGGTCAAGAGGTAGACCATGGTGTTGAAAGACAAGGTAAGGGACGAAGTTTCAAAGGCCATTTGGATCGACGGAGGTGAATCCTTAGAGGACTACTGATACTATGACAAGGTTTGAAAAACCACCTTGAAGTTGTCTGGTGGTGCACGTCTCATTTATAGAATATACAGAGCAATATTACAGCAAAATGATTTACGTACAAAGTCAACATTTCCATCTATAGCTATTGTCTATAATCAAGAGATTGCCTAGAATCATGGGATTGGGTTTTGATAAAAGATACAACATCATTTGAGGAGGATCTTGCGGATCCTTCTACATCCGTAATATCCTCATCCACTTCATTTGTAACTTGCAATTCATCGACATTGAGGGTCCTAATTTTGCAATGCTTAAAACAATTGGCAATTGTTTGTGACTTCACATCAATTGACCATGTAGCAATTGCATTTACAATTTCATCAAGGACACTTATCGTTGTTGGTTCAAAGACACGATCTTCTATCCATTTCAAAAGTAGGCAACTGAAGCGCTGAATTGAAACCCTAATACTATTAAAACATTAATTGAAATCCTAATATTGTACTACTAAAACATGAATTGTGGAATAAGAAATTTTTGTAACTACCTCCTCTATTTAGTTATAACCTCCTCATAGTAATAAATTTAGTTAGTCCCACCGTTAGGACTATAGAGAGGTTTTACAGTATAATCTTATCCTTCAACAAACTATAATGTCTTGAGTTTGCAAGAAACGCAACTAAACAGTCTCATAATGTCAACATACTGTAACTTAAATTTTTAATTTGATTTTTGACACTGGTTGTGAATCATTTATTTTCATCCGTTTTGAGAATTTTTTAGTTCTCTCTCCTTTTTTTTTTTTTTTTTTTTTTTTTTTTTTTTTTTTTTTGGGGAAAGGTTAAATTTTATATTAAAAAATGGAGTTTACAATCATGGACGACCCAGCTCCATGAGGTTAGGCCAGACTACCTCAAACTAAAAAAAAAAATTAAGTATTGGATAAAGCTCAAATTGAACCCTGGGTGTATTTGCAAAGTTGGAAAGTTGTATGGGTACATTTGTTAACCTAGTTTGGGTAAATTGTAAAAACTAGAAACTGTGTAAAACAGTGTATTTTATGTTTGTAAAAGTCTAAAAGAATATACAAATGTAGTTGCCCGCTCTTCAAAAACAGTTAATGAAAATCCCCAATTTTTTCTGCATTTTTCACTACTCTTCTTGATTACTCTACTTCTTGATTCTTGAAAACATTTTCATGGTATCAGAGTTATTGACAAGCGTTCACGGCTAATTTGAATTTGAGTCCTTCAAATAGTTAGATTCCCTTGGTTTCCATGCAAATTTTTTTTTTTTCTTTGTATTGTCTTGTGAATTGGATGTTTTTATTTTTAACACATTTGTTCAAGGTGTTGCTTCCCATAAATTTATTCAAAAAAGTATTGTATTATTAATTTCTTTCCTTTCAGCTTCTTAATATTGTATTGTTTCATTTACTCAAAGTTTTGTGGTTTTTTTTTTTTTTTTTTTAATTTCACTAGTTAATTGGCAAACAATGGCAGTCGGCAGAGCCACGGAGGCTCTCCTAGACAAAAATCTTGAATCCATCACTAGTTACAAGATAACATGAAAGGCCATATGACCAAAAGGGCTGAAGGCTCACACAAACTAAGCACAAACGCCCAAACAAGAGAGCACACAAGCTCAGAAGCAAAGGATCGCAAAGGCTCAAAACATAGGCACAGATGCCCAGAACAGAGAGCACACAGGCTCAACAAACCAAAACAATGGCATAGAAGCCTAAGGAGCTCGTAGGCTCTACAATGAAGATAAAAAAACAAGATCTATGATCGTGCGAGTTTAAGAGTTTCCTCAGTTACAATTTTCACTAAGAAGATTTATCGGAAAATAAATTAATGACAATTTACCAAACCGAAAACTAAAAAATTATTGGTTGGAATAGATATTAACATGGGGTGGGTCAAGGCCTCAATCTCTACTACCTACTCCTTTAGAGTATACAGTATTTATATACTGAAAATTTGATTTATTATTATTTTTTTTTTCCACTAAATTAATTATCAAAGGCAAATATTTCACTCTAAATCAATCAACATTATCATGTGTACAACTGTATTCATGACTTCACTGCTTTACATAAATTTATCCATTTCTTGTGTCTCTCAATAGTTATTTTTGCATGCAAACCCCACGTGCATGGCTTGGCCAAATACAGGTATAGCCGTACAGCCCATGATTTTCACAATTCAAAAGTTTGACGTAAATTTTCTCAACTTCACAATTAATGCCTCCGGAGGTTCCCAAAACGGTGCTGAATACTCATAAGTATGGTAGTTCAGTAGTACGAGTCCACACAATTGCATAGAGAGATTTGGAAGTCCCATTTACAAGCTTTCTTCGTCATTAGATTGTGATGTTGAATTGAAAACTTTCTTGCATCTTAAACATCACAATATATATAGCTCAATCAATAAAGATGGTCTCGCAATCTAATCTTATAAATTTTTTCTCACAACCCTGATATGACAGTTTATAATTGGTTAATTCGTAATTGAACAGACATGACTCATTGTTGAATAGATGAGACTTATTATGAGCTGTCACGTCAGAATTGTAAAAGAAAGTTTGTGAGATTGAGTTATAAGCATGATCAAAAGGAGGGGGTTCAAGGAGGGTCAACTAACCCTCCTTAAGTTTTTTAAAAAATTAACTAATAATAATTTGGTAAAGTTATGTTCATGTGAAAGGAAAATAATAAATCAAAATCGAAAGCATATTTTGTCTTTTTGTGGCAAATATCTCCCACATAGTTATAAGTTGAATGACAGGTTGTGGATATGCTTATCCCATGATCAATCTCACATAAGATTGAGATTGAAGGCAGGGCAAGACCCCATTTTCAGAATCTATATTCTATGATATTTAAGCTTTTGAGACACTTGATTATTTCTCATCTCCCAATTTGACTGTTGGTTTGGATATCAATTCTTAATCAATACGTACAGTTCAAATTTAACATTACAATCACTTGTTATTTGATTTTGATTTAATGTTATGTTCATGTATTTATAGGATTATGAAAATGAGGATGACAACATTTATGAACCATTAAATTGCCGTGTATAAATTTCGACCCCACACTCTATTGTTCCTTCTAAATTTCAGGTTTTTATTAATGTAATTACCACTCCTAAATTCTTTCTACATTTCAAAGGGTTCAATTTTATGATTTTATTTCTCTGTACAGGCCTTTTGCTTATTCCGTAACTTTTTATTATTTATTTATTATTTCTTATTGTATACCTTGTTATCAATCTTATTATTTTTGTTTTAATGTGGAGAAAATTTTCAATAATAAATTTTGTGAAGAATCGTTTATGAAATAGAAAAAAGAATAGTTTACTTGTATATATAGAGAAATATGTATTTGATATTATTGATAATGAAGTCATTATACAATATTTTCAAAAGATGAATTCTCATCGAGGACAATTATAAATGTATTAATTAATAGAAATTTTATAAATATAAAACTTGTGCTTATTTTAATTTAAAATTATATTATTCTTCTAAACTTGGATCCCCCTATATTTCATTTCTAATTACATCTCTGGTTTTAAGTATGGTATTGTCATAGCTTAATACCCCACGATACAGTTGACAGTTAAACTAATGTTTCATGTATTAATGACACCGAAAAATAATTTGGTATGATTGCTTGACCAACTGCTTATTTCTAAACTAAATCAGTCGAGCTCTGCTACTGGGTTGGATATACACTCATTTAGATTATTAATTAAATTTAAATTCCCAACAACTTTACCATATATTTCCCAATATATACATATTTAAAAATAAAATATTAGACGTGCAGAATTTTATTAGATTTGATTTCTACAAAAACCCATTTTAAAGTTTAAACTCTTATTAAATAGAATTGTAGCCCCTTTCCATTTTAAGCTTTGTGCTTACCAGGTCACTTGCTTATCACGATCACGACCCTGAGGAATAGCTTGAAATTTTGAATTACGTGGCCACATCTTCAGCCTTTTATTTCATCAGATTAAGACGTGACCATAAATTAATTGAAAGTGACTAGCTCCTTCATTACATTATTTCAAAATTATGTTAATTTATACTTTATAATTATATATATAGAATTTTCTAGATCATATATGTCAATTTTACATCCATATCAAGAAGATTAAGATCACGCCTCAGCTTCCTAAATTATCAAATTAAATTCACCCCTTACCTTCCTTTAATTTCCACTTCCCAAAAGAACAAAAAGTTTGAATTTTTGTTTTTTGTAACCAAGGTATCCGAATCAACTTGTGTACACCTTAATTAATCTCCGGAGTCTATTGAATATCCTACAAGTCTATAGGGCCATGTAAGACACAATATTATTATAGTAGGTGATTCTAAAATTTGAACTCAAGAATTTAAGGAAGAGATCGAGAAAACTTCCTTGACCGTCAGGCCAACGTCTTGGAATTTAAGTTCGGATTTTTTTGTTACTTAAAATACCAATGATAAAGATAAATTTCTCTCCTATTTATATGACTTGGAAATCGATTGGCGTCCTGTTTTATATTTATGATCCTCACCAATCTTTCATGGGCTCAATATATTTAAAAGGGTAGTCTCAGGCATGGAGAGAATTATATATAGTATTCTGAATTTCTGACAAATCTGCATATTCATAATTTCTCTCAAGTTCTTCTCTATAATTCTTCACCATGGTGTCACTTTCCTCCAATCTCGAAAGTCCAATTTCAGGCATGAAACTGTCATCAGTTGTGCCGGCAAAAGACACGGGTAACAAAGATCATCAACTCACAGACTTGGACTTGGCCATGAAGCTCCATAACGTTAAAGGAGTTTATCTCTTCGACAGTGATGCAGTTCGAGGGCTGACCATACACGACCTCAAGAAACCAATGTTTGAGTTGCTAGAAATCTACTTCACCGCCGCGGGGAGGATCAGGAGATCCGAAACAACTGGGAGGCCATTCCTCAAGTGTAACGATGGTGGCGTTCGTATTGTTGAAGCATTTTGTGATACAAGTATCGATGAATGGTTGGAAAGCAATGACGATTCTCGTGATAATTCTCTGGCGTACTATCAAACTCTTGGCCCTGATCTTCGATTCTCCCCTCTGGTTTTTGTACAGGTAATTAAGGTTCTAATTAACATTTCTTTTTGCCAGTTACTGGTTATGCTGCTCACGAGGCTTAATATCGATAAGTTATTAGTCGTAATCTTTCGGCTGAATTCTCTAGGAATGGAATTATAAAATAACATAAATAATAAAAAGTTTATATATTGGTATATGTTTATCTTAGCAACTTGTATAATCGCTTTTGGTTGAATTGGTAATATGGGTTTAAGTTTCGTTTTGAGAAGTTTCTTATCTCGCATATGATAAACATATTTAAAAAACATAAAATTTATCTTCTAATTAAAATTATGATTTTGAAGAAGAGAATCACATAGAAAAACTATTGTTCTACTAGTATTAAAGCACAAGTATTCATTTCTGTTTTTTTTTTTTTTTTTTTTTTTTTTTTTTTTTTTTTGGGTAATTGAAGATCCATTTGTTTTATCATTTCATACCCTATTCCCTATCTTATTCCTAAAATATTTGTTTGTTTAATTATTTGGGAGATACCATTATATATTTTTAATTACTTTTAAACCTTTTAAGTTTATTAATTTAATTAAACACCCATAGAAAAAAAGTTTAAAAATTAACAAAAACACCCGCAGCCACCCATAGTTGCCAGAGTTGCCGGAATCTGTCACAACGGCATAGAAATGATCGGAATTGGTCGGTAATTCGCCTATCTGGCCTTTTTCGGTCAGATCTACTGTGGATATGGCCGAAAAATGTTAGATCTGGCTGTTAGCGACGACCAAAGAAATGGCCGTCGTTGACGGTCAACGACAACCATATCTTTGGCCATCGCTAACGGTCAAATTTGACCTTTTGCGGTCGTCGATGGCCAGATCTAACCGTATATTTGGCCTTTTCTGGCCAGATCCGTAGTGGATTTGGCCGGAATCACGGATCTGGCCAGAAAAGACCATATCGACGCACGACCAACCAGATCCGATCGGTCTACGTCATAACGCTATTTTTCGACTAGATTCCGACGGTGGTAGCCAGAATCTGGCATTATGGGTGGGTGGGGGTGTTTTTGTCATTTTATAAAATTTTTATATATTGGGGTGTTTAGTTAAATTAACAAACCTATGAGGTTTTTTTTGTTAATTTTTAAATTTTACCTCGTAATATTCACCTTATTCAACTATCCAATATTATTATCAAAATTATATCTAAAATAACGAATCAAATAGACCCTAAGATGTTCGGATCAGTTTACGTATACTTTATTATACCGACCAGATCGGATCGGTCTAATAAAGTGGAGGCACGTTGTAGTTCAGAAGACGAGAGTCGGCGGGTCATGGGGAAATAGCAGCCATAATTTAATGCGTACATGCTGTTCAGTTTGCTCTAGTTCTGCTACTTCCCTTCCCACAAACTATTCCCCATTTAACCCTAACCGCGTTGTACGAGGCCCATTCTTGTTGACTAATTTAGATAACATTTATGAGGCTAAGTTATAGGTGCAGTTTCCAGGTTTTAGTCACTTCTTCCATTAATCTTTACATTATCATTAATACAAGTACATTTGCAATCAGTTTACTTGGTTCAAATGCGGAGGCGTGTCATTGGGCCTGAGCTGGGCCCATGTCCTTGGAGATCCAGTTTCGGCATCAACCTTCGTCAACAAATGGGCTCTGATAGTGGCAGGTTATGTTCCATCCAAGTCTCTTCACTCGCCGAAACGAAGAAAATCTGAAACTCCAACTTCAGTTCCTGGAAAATTGTCTCCCATGAAAAGAATTGAACCAGTCGGTGACCACTGGACCATTTCCAATAACTGTAACATGGAAACTCACTATTTTAAGGTTACTGCAAAACAACTCGACCATATGGTATCAAGAGTATGTGCTCCAACTAATGTCTCACATTTTGAAGTCCTCTCTGCTATTATATGGAAATCACTTGCAAAGCTTAGGGAAGATTCAGGGCCTAGAGTTGTGACAATTTGTAGATATAATTATGGCAACAGAGAAAATGAAATACCAACTAATGACTTAGTGTTAAGCACAGTTGAGACGGATTTCAATGTGAGAAAAGGTGACATATCCGAACTGGCTGTGTTGATTGCTGATAAGAAAAAGGTGGACGGGAACAGTTTGGCTGAAGAAATATTATCAGAGAAAGATGGTGAAAGTTCAGACTTTATAGTGTACGGTGCAAATTTGACATTTGTAAACATGGAAGAAGCAGATGTTTATGGGTTGAAATTGCAGGGGAAGAAACCAGTGTCTGTGAATTACGCCATTGATGGGGTTGGCGATGAAGGGGTTGTTATGATTCTTCCTGGTCCTGAAGAAGAGGAAGATGGTTGTGGCAGGAAAGTGACAGTTGTGTTGCCGGCAGATCAACTTGCACTTCTCAAGAAGGAGCTCAATAGTGAATGGGCTGTCGTTTGATGAAGATATTTGGCACTTCGATTTGGATAAAATGATTGGTGTTGGGTGCGATGCTGACTAGTGGATAATAAATAGTCGTGAAAAAAATTATTTCTTGTTTTATGTCTGCGTGCAAATAAAATGATGTAATATTTGTGCACGTTACTATCAGTATGAACAATGTAGTTAAATGGGAGATTATAAGTTTTTTTTTTTTTTTTGTTTTTTTGTTTTAAGATAAGTTTACGTCGTATCCCAATTAATTTTCGAAAATGTTAAATAAATCACAATAATTTTGAATTTGTTTATAATTCATGAAGTCAAGATTTGTATATTATGTGAGTGTTTTGGCGTTGACCAAAGAGTTTCCACGGTTATGGAAAACTATTTGTACTTATACGAAATCAAACATAATCATACAAAACTTGAGACTGCATCCAATGGATTTCTTGTTGTTTAGGTTAATTTTTAAAATATTATGAGAAAAATGAAAAAAAAAAAAATTTGATCTTGAAAAAACAAAAGAGACGGTCAATAGTGAAATAGTAAAAGGACTGAAAAGTAAATAAAAGTTTGACAAAGAAGACGAGCAAATTGCATGTTTTAGTGTTCGTCAACGCATATAAATTTTGCCAGTATCGTAAACGCTGAACACCTGCAACAATTAACTAAACTAAAATAACCACCTCTCTCCTTCTCTTAACTTTCCTTCGTTTTCTTCCCACTTCCCTAACCCAACCCCTCCCTCAAAACGCACCGTGTTTGTGCCACCGTCCCTCACCCTTCTCAACTTTAATTTACAGAGAGAACCCTCTCGATTCTCTCTCTCTCTCTCTCTCTACAACATTTACATTTTATTTATTTTAATAATTACACAGGGACCGAGGCCTTCCCAGCGAATTGGAAATAAAAAAATGAGTTCGGATTCGGATTCCGGTTTGGTCAAGTTTGTGGAATCGTTCCTAGGGGTGTCGCTGGGAGGTTCTGTGTCGGACACAATGATTGTGGCGGTAACGACGGCGTTTGCGGTGCTAATTGGTATGTTGGTTCTCGTGTGGAGGAAATCAGCGGATCGAAATGAGGAAGTGAGGCTGAATGTGCCGCCTAAGCCGGTGGGACTTCCTGACGAGGAGGAGGAGGTCGATATCGCTTCTGGCAAGACTAAAGTTACTATATTTTACGGTACTCAGACCGGGACTGCCGAGGGCTTCGCTAAGGTTATATCCTTACTTTTTTCTGCTTGTTCGGTTCGGTAGGTGATTGAATTAGCTTGTTATTTTGATTTGGAGCATTTAGACTATGATTGGATTTGAAGACGTGCTTAACGTAAAAGTGTTGAAATGATTATTTCGATGAGTAATTGAACTTGAAAATCACGTGTATTAGGTGAAAAGGCACTTTGTGACTGTTAATTGAACGTGAATTTTGAGCTAACTTTTACAATTTTATGGGATAGTGTGGAAAGATTATAACTTTGTGAATTGTGACTGTTAATTATTGGTTGACTCATGAAAGAGTTGAAAATCTTTTTGATGATAGCTTCATCACGAGTTTGATGATTAGTTGGTAGTTAGTAGAACTAATTTTGGATATATTCTAATATTCAAGGAGCTGCAAGTGGATGTACGGTTTTAAGTTATTTTGTTTTTGGTGAGTGAAACAACCAAAGAATGTTATTACTTTTCATTTATCATTATTGGAATTTTTTTTTTATTTTTTTTTGGCAGGCTTTGGCAGAAGAAATCAAAGCAAGATATGAGAAAGCAGCTGTTAAAGTTGTTGACTTGGTATGTTGGACAAGAATGTGTTATGTGACTTTTCAAGTTTTCATTATTGCATGACTTGAACTTAATTCTTTGGTGTATTATGTTGTGTATGGTTTTATAAGGATGATTATGCTGTGGATGATGATCAATACGAAGAGAAATTGAAGAAAGAGACTTTAGCCTTTTTCATGGTGGCCACGTAAGATAGTTTCTTATTTATACTGGCACTATTTTTTAATATGAATTGTATTTGGTTTTCTGGGAGGGATGGTGCATTCAGTTTATTTGAGCCTTACTTGTAGTTATGGAGATGGAGAGCCTACTGATAATGCTGCAAGGTTTTACAAATGGTTTACTGAGGTTGGTATCTCCGTTAGCTGCTGATCTGAATTAAAAGTCATATTCTGCTTACTATGCTATTGTCTCATGTCCTTTTCTTTTGCTAGATGTGTTGGGATAACTTGTTATCTCTTTCAGGGAAATGATAAGGGAGCCTGGCTTCAACAGCTTACATATGGCGTTTTTGGTCTTGGTAACCACCAATATGAACATTTTAATAAGGTAAAACTAGCAATATATCCGGTTTTTTATTCTATTGTATTATATCACTGATGGAGCTCTTTTGTAAACAGATAGCAAAGGTTCTTGATGAACAACTTTGCAAACAAGGTGTGAACCGATTTGTTTTTTATTTCTTTTTAATATTAAAAAGTTCCTAGTGTTGCTAGTTCTTGTTAGAATTATTGGTTGCTAACTTAAAAGAATGAGCAAATATTTCTCTCTTGACATGCACCGTTCAGCATTAGTGCATGATAATTTTTGTGGCATATTTGTATGTGAAGCACAAATGGAAGACTTCTCTAGATCATTTATAGAGAAGTAGTGCAGTTAGTATCCATTGTGATTGGTATTTTGACTTAATTATCCGGTGCATAGTTACAGTAACAATTTGGGGGCATTTAATATAGAGTCATTGTTTCAATGATGCCAATCTACCACGAGTCTTCTTTCCTTGGTTCGTCAGTGACTTTGAGAGGATGAAAAGAATTCCATTTTCATATCTGTGATTTGTATTTTGAATTTGTAGAGGTTCCAATGAGGTTTCTCTATTGCGGCAAATCTTATATGGGTGTCAGTATTTTTTTTTGGGTAAATAGGTGTCAGTATTGCTGGATAACAAATTTTCAAATTTTCTTTTACATAAATATTTTGACTGGGTGCTTGACACCAAAATTGTTTCGGTCTTTTCCTGTTTCTTTTTTTGCGTTTCTGCTTTCTGCATTCTCTGGCATAAATGGTGAGTGCTTCATAGTGCATTGCTGTTTCTCTCCTGCAGCTCCTGCTGATAATATTTTTGTGCTTCTTTTAGTAGAAGGTGATTGGTTGTATGCTAGTAAATTTGTCTGGATTGCATGAGAATGGCTGGTGGTAGTAATTATATTTTAGACTTTCTCAAGTTTGTCATCATATTTGTTTTAGATCGACTTGTGAACTTATTCGTGATTCTGTTGTTTGATGCAGGTGGAAAGCGTCTTGTTCCAGTTGGTCTAGGGGATGATGATCAGTGCATTGAGGATGATTTTGCTGCTTGGTATGCCGTTGTCCTCTTAGGCATTTACATTTTCCTCACCTCCTCCCATTTGTAATTTATTCCTCAGCAATTCTGTCAAAGTGATGATTACTCTCTAACTTTTTAAGAGGAGGGCTTCTTTTATGGAATATGACTCAGTTTTGTGATAAATTAACTCTACTGAGCTGTTTTCCCTCCTTTAGGAGAGAATTACTGTGGCCTGAGTTAGATAAATTGCTCCGAGATGAAGATGATGCAAATACTGTATCTACCCCATATACAGCAGCTATTCCTGAATATCGTGTAGTGATTCATGACCCCACTGTTACATCTTATGAGGATAATTACTCAAACAAGGCCAATGGAAGCGCTTCTTTTGATATCCACCATCCATACAGGTATGCAAAGATGCCAATTTGCTGTTCTGGAACATATCTTATTGTTTACTAATATTGATGTTTCTTTGTCTGCCTTAAAGAGCAAATGTAGCTGTCCAAAGAGAGCTTCACAAGCCTGAATCTGACCGTTCTTGCATACATCTGGAGTTTGACATATCTGGGACTGGTATTACGTAAGTTTTCAATATTGTAGTTCTTGTTGTTAGAGGTCTGCAAATGACTAGCTGTATGTACTTGATCAGTTTAATATCAGAGAAAAATCTAATATGGAAAGGAAAAGGCACTTTTCGTTGGCATCTTTATAATTATTCCTGCACATTGGTTTTTTGGATCATTTTAGTTAATATGCATTTCATTTTCATTTATTATTTGACTAATAAAGTAGTGAGAAAGAAAATACATCAGCTATTAGTAGTATAAATTACATGGTGTTTGCTGATCTTTTTTTCTCCCATCACTCTAAGTTTCCGTTTGATTGCCATCTAGAATATCTCCTTTAAAATTTAAAGTACAGGCATAAACTGTCTTTGCATTATCATACTGTAGATTAACAAATTGATAAGCTATTAATTTGTTCATTTTGTTTCAAATCTTCACTCAGATATGAAACAGGAGATCATCTGGGCGTTTATGCTGAGAATTGTGATGAAACTGTTGAAGAAGCCGGAAAGTTGTTGGGTCAACCTTTAGAGATGTTGTTTTCTATTCATTCTGATAATGAAGATGGTACTCCCCTTGGAAGCTCATTGCCACCTCCTTTCCCTGGTCCATGCACTCTACGCACTGCATTAGTACGATATGCAGATCTCTTGAACCCTCCTCGTAAGGTGATGTATTTGCACTTTGTTAATCGATGCCATCTTTCTTCTGGATCTGGGTGTTTTTTATTTATGATTAGTTATTTTGGATTCTGAAATATTTCTGCCGTCAGGCTGCTTTGATTGCTTTGGCTGCCCATGCCACTGAACCTGGTGAAGCAGAGAGACTGAAGTTCTTATCATCACCTCAGGGGAAGGTTGACATAACTTGTGCTATCTTTTACCTCTTTTGTACTGCTGTACTCATTTTAAACACTTCATTTTGTTTATCTGTTCTTGTGTATGTTTGACGTATGTTTCCATTATCCAGGATGAGTACTCACAATGGGTTGTAGCCAGTCAGAGAAGTCTTCTTGAGGTTATGGCTGAGTTTCCATCAGCAAAACCTCCCCTTGGTGTATTTTTTGCTGCTGTAGCCCCTCGCTTACAGCCTCGTTACTACTCTATCTCTTCCTCACCTAGGTATTATGCTACTTCTCACTTGTATGATTGTGTCTATTAATCTCCATGTAGTTCAATGAAAGCTAATTCTCTTATATTTCACAGATTTGCCCCCAATAGGGTTCATGTAACATGTGCTCTAGTTTATGGTCCAACTCCCACTAATAGAATACACAAAGGGGTGTGTTCAACCTGGATGAAGGTAGTGACTTAGCTTTCAAAATCCTTTGCCTCGCCCTCCTCTCTTGCATTGCATGATGAATCCATATTAAGAAATACATTAGGCTCTAATGGCATCTATCATTCTTGTGTTTGAAAATATTCAGAATGCAGTTCCTCTTGAGAGAAGTCGTGAATGTAGCTCGGCTCCTATTTTCATCAGACCATCTAATTTTAAGTTACCAGCTGATCCCTCCATTCCAATTGTCATGGTAGGACCTGGGACTGGATTGGCACCTTTCAGAGGATTTCTACAGGTATGGAATCACTCTATGCATTTTATGTTCCTTGTTTTTTTATATGAAACAAAGTAATTGAGGGTTATTTCATTTACCAGGAAAGAATGGCCCTGAAAGAAAACAGTGATCAACTTGGTCCTGCTCTACTCTTCTTTGGATGTAGAAATCGTCGAATGGTTAGGATCTTTGCTATATGCGCTGTTGATACCAGTTAACCGTTGAAAACATTGTGAACTTGTGCCATATCATTTCCAGTCTTTATTTTGGATGTAGGATTTTATTTATGAGGATGAGCTCAACAATTTTGCGGAACAAGGTGTTATATCTGAGCTGATTGTTGCATTCTCACGGGAAGGACCACAAAAGGAATATGTTCAACATAAGATGATGGATAAAGTAAGTTTTAATGGAAGCTAACAGAGGTTGCAGTTGATGTCATAAAGACATGATTCTGAATTTAGTGGAATTTATTCCAATTGCAGGCAGCATATTTCTGGAGTTTAATTTCTAAGGAGGGATACTTTTATGTATGTGGTGATGCCAAGGGTATGGCAAGAGATGTTCATCGCACTTTGCACATCATTGTTCAGGGGCAGGTATGAACTAACATTCCATATTGTACCTTTTATGTAATTTCTTCTTCTCTTGGAAAGTTTGAAGTTGCCAGGTTTGTTTGCATTCTTGAAGGCCATAGGGTTATTTGCTATTTAAATTCGTTGGCTCATGATTGTCCAGTTCAGGGTGTATCGCCTGTCCTGGTTTTGAAAATTGTGAGGATTCTGATGGTTTGATGATGCTGAGACTTGTAAAGCAATCCTATTGTTTTTTCCTCTAATGATATGATGTGCATTCATGAATCAAGTGAGATTTGTTTCCAAATTGGTTTGGCATAAATTTCAGGACAATGTGGACTCATCAAAGGCAGAGTCTATTGTGAAGAAACTCCAGATGGACGGACGATATCTTAGAGACGTGTGGTGATGGTTCTCGTTGTAATTGTTTAGGTCATGTTGTCAAATTATAGTGGTGGATCTCAAGCTTCTTTCACTGCACTCGCAGAGAAGCAGCAAAGATTGTGATAGTGATAGTAATAGCGATGGTGGAAAATGTAACTGGTTTCCTCAGAAAATTAAAATGACTTGTTATAACTTTTTAATTTTTGAATAGAAGGTCATGTGTTTTTGAACTCATTCAAAAATTTAAACTGGGAACATCATATAACTACTTGCATACTTGTTGGAAAACACATGATAGGAACCTACTCTTAACTCGATATTAATTAGCTGGATAGTGGGCCGTTGATAGGAATTGGGCTAGACAGTGATCTTTTTGTGGGTTTGGGTAGAACTCTTGTTAGAAAACTAGCTTGTCAAGGAGGGTAATCAAGCTCTTATAAACTACATGTCCACCTTTTTTTTTTATCTCAATATAAGATCCTAACATTTTCCCACGCTTCGAGACCCAATGTCCTCGTCTGTTCACCCTCATTTGCTATTCGGCTATCCCATTCTCATTGGCCTTTATTGCCCTTCCTTCGGGTCTTACTTCACCTAGAAGCGTGTCAAGTGGGTGTAGGTTGTTGAATGGCTTTGTAGGAGAAATGGTGTTGAATATAACGAGATTTTTCTTTGTATTTTAGGAGGTTTAAACACTTTTTTTTTTTTTTTTTTTTTTGGGGGGGGGGGGGGTTGTACTGTTATTGAATTGTGCATGCTTTGTTGGACCCGAGTATTATTGTGGAAGCAGAGTTGATTGCCGTGGTCTTCTTGTTAATCCCGCCACTCAACTCTGAGTTGCGATAGGAAGTTGATTACACAATGTTTTTGAGGAGAGAAAAGTCTTTATAAATTATAATACAATTGGGTATGAATTTAATTAAATGGGGCATTTGCACTGCAGAGCGGTGAAACTTAACATAATTTTAAATCACTGTCTGAAAGATCTTTTAGTTAATGTTAGAGTCAATGAAATCATCAAAAAATAATAATAAAAAATTTGAAATTATTGTTATAAATGTAATCTTGTGGTCAGCAATTGCATAGGGACGGTGGTACATTCATTGAATATGTATAAGTTGGGATTGGGAGTTGGGAGTTGGGAGTAGTTGGCCTTCTGTAAAGTAACAAACGGTGAAATAGGAAGCTGATAAATTCCAAGAAAAAAAAAAAGAAAAGCAGTTAATGGTGCACAACTAGACTCATGTTGGATTTAGCAATCTAAATTAAATTAGTAACTCACTTCCACATGCCTAATAATCCTTCGTCGTCAAAGTCTCTGATTAGATTCCTAAACCAAACAGAATCTGATGACTTCAAATCCAACCAGATTACTTCCAATGTCTCCTCTCTAATCAAAAGAAACTGAGGGCATTATCGTCTTTCCAGTTTTCAGTATTTCTTCACCAACTGGAAGCTCCGAAATGCCGCTCCACTATTTTCCCGTCTGTCTCCTATCTTTTCAGGCACTCCAACCTGCCCCCGTTTCTTTCTCTCCATTTCTATAGGCGCGTGGTCTCCACGCTCTTCAACGGTTGGTCACTCCTTCGTACTTTTTACTCCCTCCTTGTTCTATCCCCCAAAACCCTTCTAGGGTTTTTGGTACTAATTTTGATCACTCATACTATGTGATTGCACTAATACAATGGTTGAGAAAGCTAACAAGAAGCACAAGAAAGGCTTCATAAGCGAAGTAGACATTTCCTCTCTCTTACAAAGGTTCTCTCCTTTTTCTTTTATAATTTCTTTAATAATCAAATGTTTCTGTTTTACTTTTATTATATGATTCGGTGTTTTTTATTGTACAGATACACAGCAAACACTGTGTTGGCATTGTTGCAAGAAGTTGCTCAATCTCCAGGAGTTAAGCTCGATTGGAATGCGTTAGTGAAGAAGACGTCAACCGGGATTTCTAATGCCAGAGAGTACCAGATGCTTTGGAGACATTTAGCTTATCGCAACACTTTGCTCGAAAAATTGGAAGATGGGGCTTCGCCTTTGGTAAGATCTTACAACTTTTCTTTATTACTTATGCCTTAGCAACATCAGTTTGTTGAATCAACTGTTTAGGTATTGTATGCTTCGTCTTCTTTCCTTTTTAGATTTTTCCTTTGTAAAACGTGATTTTTACAAGGCAAAGTTGTTAATTTTTATTGTGTACTAGGGCATACGGTTTATTGTGTATATATTGGTGTTGATGATGTTTTCCGAAGAGTGATTAGGATGTTATATTCATGGCTGATATTTGGAAGTTGGAAAGGTTGTTGGTAAAATGTGTATTAAGTCTTGGTTGTATTCAGATTGTTGGTGCTGGATACGACATGGATCAGTCTCATGGCTGTTCCAGGTGGTTTTGGGAAGAAGTGTTACTTGTTCACTAATACTGGCATTGCTATCATCTTCAATTAAAGCAAATCTGGTTTGTATTGGAAATTTGGTTGCCGTTCATAGTGAAAAACCACTGTGCACATGTAGTGTTATCTTGATGTTTGTGAATTAACATAGATAATATTAGGTATTAAACTGAGGGCAGATGAATTGCTCCTTATGCATGCATACATTAGATGACAGGCACGCCCTCACACACTCAAAACATATAGTGGGGTAGGACTTATGAAAGTTCATTTGGGACAGAAATGATTAAAAATTTCTCACTCGTGAGTTGTGCTTATGTGGAGCAAATATTCAGAGAAAAAAGTTGTTGGGAAATGGAATGGCAAATGCTGTTTTATTGGCAAATCATTTTGTTTTTACTTGTTGCTAATGGAATGTTGAAGAGGTGTGCTAAACCATACTATGACCCTTTTTTATAGAAATCAAGCAACTTTTTAAGTCTTTTTTTCCTGGCATAACTGGAATAGTTAGAAGGATAAAATTTAGTGGTAATCATTCTCACTTTCTACAAAATTTCACCATATCAAGACCATAGTATTTGACTCAGTTAAAGAGAAATGGACATTATTAGTATGCCATTAATTAATGTGCGTATTCTTGTCACAAGCATTTTTTTCCTAGAAAGCAATCATAAAAACATATTAATGAACAAGTGTGTGTTGAAATTGAAAATTACAATTAGAGATGCTGTGACTGTAATATTTTAAATTTCAATATTTTGTTGTTATGTTGATTGTTTAAGCTATTTTTGAAGCTACTGGTTGTGTATCATTATTTTCATGGGTAATATTTAACTTCATAATTAGTCTTCTGTTCATTGTCAACATTACAATTAGGGAAGATTTATGTGTTATGTTGGTCCTCACATCAAAACAATTATTGTTAGTCTTCATGCCTTACCTAGTTATTTGTTAGTGTTAGTGGGATTGTCAAACTAATTTCTTGTTATTGTTTTGATGCTGAACAGTGTATTTTTTTATTTAGCTTTTGATCAAGAATACAATTATAGGATGTCATTAAACTGAAACTGCTTAATTTGGCTCGTTTCACCTCTTCTTCTTCTTTTTTTTTGTTTTGGGTCTTGATCAGTAGTGTCTGTTGGAGTTGACCAAGTTGTTTCATTGACTTACTGTATTGAGTGCTTATCTTCTTGCACATCCTCATATCTGGTGACACTATATTTACTTATATTTTGAGTGACAGGATAACTTGCAATTTGCGTAAATGCATTGTTGTATAAAAATTTCTTTTGTTGTTGTGTAAACCATCCATGTCTTGAACATTTCTTGTTAATCATATACAATTCAGGGTCATGTATCTTGTTGTTAATTAACTTTTCATTTTACAGGATGATGATAGTGACTTAGAGTATGAATTGGAAGCATTCCCAGATGTTAGCAGTGAAGCTTCAACTGAGGCTGCTGCATGTGTAAAAGTAAGTGACAAACATTTTTAGAAAAAAAGAAAAAGAAAAAGAAAAAAGGAATTGACAGTGCTTAAACTTATTGTTTATCTTTTATTACTCACCTGGTCTTATCATCGTTTGCATTGCCAATAGGCTATGGGTTAGATCTGATTTCTTTTGGAAATTATAGTACTTAATTCTTTTTTTATCAATTCTTAATTCTCTTAACCCAGTTAATTTAGTTTATGAGAATGGTTCTCTTTTGTCAGGTTTTGATTGCTTCTGGTTTACCAAGTGATTCCAATCTCCCAAATAGATCGACAGTGGAAGCTCCCCTGACAATAAATATTCCTAATGGTCAGTCATTTAGAGCTTCATTGGAAAATTCTCAGCCTGCTTGCTTAATGCAAGGGATGAACATCACAGTTCCAGTATCGGTGCAGAAACTGCCCCTACCTACGGCAACAACTACAGAAGGATTTGATGGAAATGGATCGATAAGTGGTAACATGCCTCCTCGAAAGAAAAGAAAACCGTGGACTCCTGAAGAGGATGTAGAATTGATTTCTGCTGTGCAGAAATGTGGTGAAGGGAATTGGGCAAATATCTTGAAAGGAGACTTCAAGTGGGACAGAACTGCTTCACAGCTATCTCAGGTTGTTTTTATCACCTTGTTTTGTTAACTGTGCATGACCATTCTCAAATTCAATTTCCTTTCATTGTTTTGATTTACCCTGCCATATCATCCATGTCATGCATTTTATAGATATCAAACGCACCATTTCATGCATTTTAGTCTCTTTTCTTTTTCAGAAGATGGTATGGACAATAATGTTTAGTTATGTAAGTTCTTTTCTTCATATGATAATAAAAAAAGATAGACATATGTAGTCATCAGATCGTTTTTTGTTATCGACTGTATTGCCTAATCCATTGACTTGAGTCTTCTCCTGCAATCATATTCCATTTTCTGACATTTGACAATGTGCAGTTTAGTCAAAAGTGTCTATGTACTGGCTGTTTCTGATAATTTCTCAAGACATCTCTGAGATGCGTTGAGTTACATGAGCCTGATAGTATTCTATTATCTGTTGTTGCACTTGGTTATGGTGCCAACTGTTCTTGTAATTGCATTATAGATAGGTGAGACTCAGAGGACATTGCAGAAGAAAGCAGACACTGACATACACTTTCTTTGTTAAGCTCTCTTCACCAGGATATTGAGTGGTCAGAGTAGAGTGGAGATGAATATATTCTGTTAGTCAGCCCTATTATGGCTTATTAGAGTCGAGTAGTGGCATGGTTCTCATTAAAAGTGTCAAATTCCGCAGAGTTATATGAATTGAGAATCTTCCATAGAGAACATTATTTTGATGATGCTTTACCCAAATCCAGTTTAATAATTTGCAATGTCTGATCTGACTGTGTGTATGTATGAATATGTTTTTATTATAAAAATCCACTGCCCATTGCTCGATCAAAAAGGAAAAAATTGTTTGTTATATGCAGGATGGTAAATTGTATGTTATCTGTAGGATGGTAATCTAGTGTGATTATTTGTTCCTTCTAATGAACTGAAAGGACTAAGGTATTTGCTTTTCTCTTTTCTTGGCCTTCACCTTTGGTTTTTGTTTTGTCATGTATGAATGTGTACTGCTAGTTGTATGTGGTGATAGAAGAAAAACAATAAAATAAGAGTAGGCTTTTTGGTAGGGATAGTGTGTGAATAAATGTGATTTTAATTATTTATAGTGGGCTTAAAAGTTTTTATTGTGTCTCTGATAACCAGCTGCACCTTGTTTTGGGGTTTTACTTGTGGCTTCACCCATTTGTTTTCACTATGTTGACGCTTAGGTAGAATAATTGAATTCGATTGTCACTTTGTCTTATTGTCTCCCCTCTACCACCTCTTTTTCTGTGTATAGGTGTTGAGCTTTTGTGGTGTATAATCATTTAGAACTCTTTCATTGCTAAGAAATTAGCACTGTTTGTTGAGCTTCATTTATATTGGTGAAAATTTGGGAGTTTTAACGAGCTTGATTCGTAGTTGAGTGTCATGTATGGTTGAAAGTTTCAAGATTATCACTGCTCTATAACAGCTATCCGTTGTCATCTAGTTCGGTCAGGATGTCTGGGTATCACCCAGTTTTCCCGGGTTCAAATCCCGGCAACGGAGTTTCGTCATCTCTATAATACTATCGATTTCTATGGTTAATCCTGTATATTAAAATCATATTGTTGTATTCTAATTGAATTTTACATATTCACCAAAACTTTATTTGACTCCAGGCAATTTTTCTGGCATGGCTTTCTTCTTGCTTCTTGTTCTACTAATTTTCACAAATGTATTCCAATATTTGCAGAGGTGGAATATTCTTAGGAAGAAACACAGTAACGTGAATTTGGGAGCCAATTCATCTGGCTCGCAACTGTCTGAGGCGCAGCTGGCAGCTCGTCATGCAATGTCCCTTGCCCTTGATATGCCAGTGAAGAATATAACAGCATCCTCTACAACTGGTAATTCTCTTTTCCATTGTGGATGGCTCTTATTTTTGTGTTTTGATGTGTATGGCAATTGAATATCTGTTCTTATATGCCCAAAGTTTGACTGATTTCTCCTTGAGTTTGGAACAGCTGGGGCGCCTTCAAATCCTACAGCTAATAACTCTGTGCTTCCCACTTCAAATGCTGAAACTTTGCCAGTCGGTAGCAGCAGCCTTGTGCAAGCCCAAGCTCAATCTCAGCAAGGCCCCAATCAAACAAAATCTTCTCCGGTTGGATCACCGGGTTCTGCAGCAAAATCTCGAGTACCCCCTAAGAAAATACCAATAAAGACCAATTTCAGTACAGATTCAAGTTTAAGAGCTGCTGCAGTTGCTGCTGGCGCTCGTATTGTTACCCCATCAGATGCCGCATCATTGCTCAAGGTTGCTCAGGGGAAGAATGCTATCCATATCATGCCCACGGGTGTTTCATCAATAAAACCTTCCATCACTGGTAGTGCCCCAGCCCATTCAGAGGCTTCTCCTACGGTACGCTATATAAGAATGGGCTTGGCAGCTACATCACCCAATGGTGCTTCCACATCAAGCGCCTCACAGCCTGGTTTTTTCAAAGCTGCCTCACCAAGAGTTCAGCATAATACGTCTTCTGAACAGACTAATGCTGTTATCTGTAGTCCAGCCACTGCACTTCCATTAAAGCCAGAGGTTAAAGCAGCAGAAGAGATCAAAGTTTCTGATTTATCCAGTGTTACAGTAAATGAAGCTAGTAAAGAAGTTCAAGCAGATGTAGCAACCTTTGAAAAACCGGACCTGGGATTAAAAGATGAAGAAATCATTTCCGAGGATCCTAATTGTTCTATGAAAATGGAGGTGGTTGAGAATGACCAAGTACACGTTAGTGGCAACCAGGCTGAAGGGAATCAAAATGAAAACGTTGATAATATGATAGATTCACCTATGATGGATTCACTGGTTAAGGAAAATGAAAATGGATCTGCAGTTGAAGATAATTGCGAGCTTCAGAACCCTGACAAGAAACCGGGAACAGATGAATGTAGTGGAAATCTGGAGGTTTTAAGCGAAATAAAGGCCAGTGATGAGATGCAGGGATGAAAAAGAAAGAATTATCTTGTCCAAATTCACTGACTTTTTTGACTTGGCCTATAGTTAACTTGTTTCAGTAAATTGTACTGTAAATTTCTTGCTCAAGTAAAGCTATGAAAAAGTAAATGAATTAATCAGTATCCTTTTTAGTGTAGCTTCTTCTCATTCATTACCGTTGGTAATGATGTTGGGTTTTTCAATTTAACAAGTTTTAGCTCCTTGTAAACAATAAGGTCAGGTCATCAGGTACTGCTATACAGTAATAGACCCAGAAGCACAATAATAGTACTGTCTTTCCTTGCACATGTCCAGTTCTATTATGCAATTACGTTAATTTAGTATTTAATAAGAAGCAAATTTACAATAAGGATTGGGAGTAATACATTTAAATAACATACAACACGCAATGTTTTTTTTTTATTTATAGGTCAAATTCAAAATCCTAAAATATATCTGCACACACAATCTATTAATTACTATCGATAATGTCCAGCTATAGCTAGACTACTGTACTGTTTCTGTAATGCCGGATTCATGCATGAAAAGAGTGATGGCTTTTGTCTATGCTTCTTTAACTTCACTCCGAACAAGAAAGACTGCAAGGGAATTCTTGCTCGACTTGGGCTTCTTGTGGGTCCTCGTCTTCTGAATTCTTCATCAAGTTTTGCCAGTGTGGTTTCCAACTCCATCTTCAGCTTCTCAACACGCTCATGTCCTGCACACAGTTGATCCGCAATCTTGGTATTCTCCTGTTTCATGTTTAGAACCTCGCCTAGGAACTTTGCCGCTTGATAATTACTTAGTCCATTCTCTTCAGCCTTTCCACCTGCACTTGACACTCTTGCTATCTCTTCTTGGATATTGCACAAACATGAATACCTTCCATGCAATTCATCTTTCAGAACTTCATTGTTTTCCAACCACAGTGTTAATTCTGTTTGTATTTCTCTCAAGTGTTTATATATTGCTCGGGGATCAGACGGAAGATACGGCTGCTTTGTATTTTCTTCTTTCTTCTCGTTAATCTTCAGTTTTGTTAACTCTGCTTTCAGGTCACGTACTGTAGATTGGTACCTTTGTATCTGATGATAAGAAGTGCTGAACCTCAACCAGAACTCCAGGTTTTCCTCCAGAAGTTCATCGATGTCCGAACGGATTTTTTCTTCTATAGTTGTAAGAGAACTGGGAGTCTTGACATATTTTACCTTCAAATTGGTTTCTTCTTTTTGAGGAGACTTGTTCGGTTCGCTTTTCTCTTTGAAATCATAACTATGTTCACTGAATGGAACTGGCTTTGGCGAAGCTTGTGATGAAAAATTAGATTCTGGGGAGATGCCTACTTGTGTTATGCTTTCACGGGATGTTGATCCTCCCTGATGAGACTCTGTCACGCTGCTTTGCGGTGAGCTGATTTTATTTCGTAAAGATTGAATCTCATCATCTCTGAAGGCAACAGCATTTTCCAATTCCCTTATCTGCAATGCCAATTCTATAAATCCATCACGGTTTTTCTTCTCCACTTCACTCAGCTTTCTTTTTACATCCATATAATTCTGAAGAACTGAAGTGTACTCCTCTATTAGAATTTTCTCTCTTTCCTCTAATCCAGGTGAGAGCATCCTCCAGTTAGGATCTCCCTCTTCAATTCCAAGTTCCTCTAGGTCGATATTAAGATTGCAGCTTCTTGTATAGGACATATCTTTCTTCTCATCGTTCTCTTCATTGGTCAATCTCAATTTCTGAGAGTGTTCAGAATTAATCTCAAGCTTAACATTTGGGCAGGAATCAACAATGTTTTCTTGTTCAGCTTCGACAGAATTACTGAGAACTGAAGTATTATTATCCTTCTCAGGTTCTGGGTCTTTTATGCTCATTGCACTATCACCAGAATCAGGAACCAGCTTTTCTTCTTCTTCTTCTTCTTCTTCTTCTTTGAACTCATTTTCTTCTTTTGCATCTGAAGCCGCTTTCACTTGTGGGAATAATCCTTCATCCTCCACATCCTCTTCGAAGTCCACACTCTGTAACTTCTCAGACAAGTAATCAATGTTACAACTTGCTTCAGTAAAATGTGTTTGGAGGTTGTTGTTTTGATCTTCAACGCTTTGGTTGAGACTTCTNTCAATTTCTGAGAGTGTTCAGAATTAATCTCAAGCTTAACATTTGGGCAGGAATCAACAATGTTTTCTTGTTCAGCTTCGACAGAATTACTGAGAACTGAAGTATTATTATCCTTCTCAGGTTCTGGGTCTTTTATGCTCATTGCACTATCACCAGAATCAGGAACCAGCTTTTCTTCTTCTTCTTCTTCTTCTTCTTCTTTGAACTCATTTTCTTCTTTTGCATCTGAAGCCGCTTTCACTTGTGGGAATAATCCTTCATCCTCCACATCCTCTTCGAAGTCCACACTCTGTAACTTCTCAGACAAGTAATCAATGTTACAACTTGCTTCAGTAAAATGTGTTTGGAGGTTGTTGTTTTGATCTTCAACGCTTTGGTTGAGACTTCTTATTCTAGCTAACTCTTCCTCCACCGCTATTAGCCTTTCGTTCATATTGTCCGAACCTGCAATTAGAGCTTCCTTGTCCCCTTCCAGGCTCTGAATTTGTGCCTGAATCTGATCGTTTTCTGATCTTAATCTCGTCACCAAAGCCGTCTGAGAAGAGACCTGATATTCCAAATTAACTACTTTATCTACAACTCCATCAATCTTCTCAGCCAGTTGCGTCACTGAGAGGGACGAGTTTGAATCAACTGCAAGCTGTTCCTTAAACTTTTCCCCCAACAGTTCCCCATTTCCACTATTTTCCGTACTACTAATCTCTGGATCTAAGTCTTTCAATTCTGAACTTGATCCAGCGGTCAAAGACACATGTTTCTTCGCGGTAAAGGGTTTGTGCTCATTTGTTTGTTCGGGAAGAGCCTGATTTCTGAGGTTTGCAATCTTCTCATGATACTGCAAGATCCTTTGGAACTCTACCTTTGCCAATCCAGCTGATTGCTCTTGTTTCTCTTGCAACTTGGCCAAGGTCTCTTGGCATGAGTTCAGAGCCGTGGATGCCATCAAATTTCTAGCTTCATTGTCATCTATAACAGTACCAATTCCAAATTCATCCTGTAAGCAGCTGACATTCGCTTGTATTTCAGTTATCCGGCTCTCAATACCCCAATACTTTTCATATGCACATTCATGTGAACTCTTAACAAACTCCTTCTCAGTTTGTAATCCCAATATTTCTTTCTGAAGCTTATCAATTTCCTCTAATGCTTCGTTTTTGGTGAGGCCTGATTTCGGTGGTGGTGCAGGAGCTTTAGCAGAACTACCAGCTTTCCTTAGCCACTTTTTTGGGAGTCCCATTGAAGGACTCTTCAAGAAATCTTTCATTGGTGCTGCGGGGACTTTTGGGATGAAACCTTTGGATGGCTTCTCATTGTCAGAAGAAGATGTTTCACTTCTAACATCTTCATCTTCAGCATCCATCTCGAATTGAACTTGTTCTGGATACACAGTTGCAATTGTGCGGTTGGCGCTTTGCAACTCTTTTGAAAGGTGATCATATCTTTCTGCTAATGCTCGGTATGACCTGTATGAGTATTCTACATGATTTATGAGTTCTGGCCTCTTCCGGTAGTACATTTCTGCTCTTTGGGCAAATGAGTCCCCATCATCATCGATGATTTTGAGCATCTCACCCACCTTGTCCTCTATATCTGTCATTGTACCAAAATTATGTCAATATATACACTCCAATTATATCAACATTATAATTTTTCCCATGACTAATTGTTCACGGATGCAATTATCTTTAACATCAATCAAATAAACAGAAGTTCTGTTTGTCTATTCTAGTTTTGCCAATTCTTTACCCCTTTTTGCACCTGAAGTTTGAAAAGTCTTGTAGAATATTAAGGACTTGGTTGCAGAATAAACAATTCAATTGTTATTCACATAACGTGAAATTCACAGAAAGATATTATTGTTGTTCCTCATGCAACACACCATATTTTTAACAAAGTACAATTGAGAATTATAGGGCATCATGCAGACGTTGATGAGAAATAAGAAAAGAAATAAAAATTGCATACCCTGAAGGTTTTCTTCCAGCCATTTCGATTGCTTTGTCCTGATATGGCTAGCCCACCACCATGAATATGCATTGCTTGCTGCTCTCTGCAACATTATTTATTATCACACTCTAAAGAAAAACGAAAGAAATGCAAGGCAAGGCAAGGCCATAAAGGAAGGATGGTAATGTTGAAGATGAGTAAAAAGTTTTACCGGATACAAAACACAGGTGTCTTAGAATGTTTCTCAAATATGGAGGGGAGGATTGTTCGCTGTAAGATCCAAATATATAGGAAGCTTGGGATGTTTATGTACATATGTCGGTTTCTTTTGCCTGGTTGTGTCCTAAAAAATAGAGGATTTCTATATACCTTTCTCTAATTATTCAGTTATTTTTGTTTTAATTGTTTCATATTCACTTAGTGGCTCCGTCTCTGGTTCACCCAAAATCTTTGTCACTCTTTTCTATATTATGCTACCCATCATACTGTAAACTACCAACCAGCCTTAGCTGTTTCTTCCTAGAAATAGTGTTTCTACTCAATAACACCTTCTAGTTTTAATTGTTTTTTTTTCCTTTTTAATAATATAACAAATAACTGCTATCGACAACCCCATTCATATTTAAGCTCATCACTATATATATATAAAAGACCTACATAGGCTTGGGATCTACAGACCAACTTCATTTAGTTGTAAGTAGTTGTTTTGTTACATAATCTTGAAGAATTATAGCAATAACATTCCACATCTAAATATTTTTCTTGTTTTGTGAAGGAATTTCATTGGGACAAGATTTTATTTGAATCTTTTGTTAAGGAATTTCACTAGGACAATATTGTCTGAATCTTTTGTGAAGGAATTTCACTAGGACAATACTGTCTGAATCTTTTGTGAAGTTGGTAGGGACTAGATTTTGTTTGAATCTCAGACGAGCTATGATGCACTTCCACATCAAATCAGGAGATACTTAATATGAATGTTAATTTCTTCATCAAGGAAGGCATGTAACTGGAAAGTAAATGGCTTTGCCATCACTTCCCATTTACTCCATTTGTACTGAACATCAACTCTAATATGAATTATGCCATTGGTAATAAACCCGGAACTCTAACTGGCAATGACAAATAAATAGCCTTATTGAGAGAGAGAGAGAGAGAGAGAGGAAGAGAGAGTTTTATAAATTTCACATATTTACATAATACTATCAATTATTTACAATAGTTAGATGGAGCATTAAACAGCTCCCATATTTACAACTATATTTACATCAAAGAATTAAAATCAAACGCATTCAGACCTTTACTTCCTCTCTTTTTTACTCTTTCTTAGTTTTTTTTTCTACCAATACCAAGAACACATACATTACACAGTAAACTCCTTGATTCTGGGTGCTACGGAGAAAGAAGAAGACAGCAGGTACTCATAAACTTCTCATGAAATATTTGACAGAAGAAGCAAAACTGAATGTTATTTCCGCTACCGATACCGCCATTAGTCCTTCAGTCATCACCATTTCTACTCACCGTATACTTATTAGCTCCAAACCAAGAGACGGCAATCCTCTTCTACTAGTTACAATATACCCAGGCCGGCTACCATTTTTTTTTTTTTTTTTTGGGGGGGTGGGAATGCTTCTATTATACCTTTGTACATTATTTATCAATTTTTTAAACAATAGAACATGTTCTTCCAGAGATTAAGCAGCAGCCGCAGAACCAGAATAATATAGACTTAATATGTAAGCATCAGTACTCTGCAATGTCAGTTGTTCTGGAGGGAAGAGAGCCATTGTTCCATATGCTTCTTGCTATCTACATATTGGAGGAAAATGCAGAGAACTTAGCATCAGTAGTTCATTTCATGGTTAAATGAGGAAAACAGATTATATTGCTTTAGACAACCAATCAAATGTTTTTTCTTTTATTTATTCTTTTATTTTGGTTCCAAATATACTTGTAATAAATGCCATTAGTAGGTGGAATATAACAGTAAGAAGCTAAGAAAAAAAGCACCCAAAAAAAAGAAAATATAGTCCTAATTTCTTATTGGCTATAATTCTCCATTTAATCTGATAATGCAATGATCACAACGCTAAGTATGAGATAATATCAGAAGATCAAGGTTACAGATAAAGAAAGAGTAACAAAAACTATTGCACGACAAAATGCAAAATGGTAGTTTAATGGGAATAGGTTAGCTATGATAATAGTCCATAAGATCTGATAAGCAATCTAATCAACGGGACAAAAGGGGGCAATGGAACATAATTTAACAAATTTAAACCATCCCACAAACAATTCAATGTTAGATTTCTCTTTTCCACAAAGTGGAAAGAAAAATTATCCACAATACGACTATACTCAGAGACATATATGCTGAATGAAGAATAAGTGAAATAATAACTGAAACAATAAGCAATGCATGTTCATTCTCCTACTAATTGCCCAAATAAATATAATAATAATAGTACCAAAAGTTAACTAATGTTGGTTCTTTCAAAGTTGACACTCTCTCAGAAACAGAACATACTCAAGGTTCTCGTAGAGAGAATCAGGTTATAGGACCTTAAAACCCTAAATTTGAGTAATTAAGAACAGTATCAATAAGGGAGAGGTAATATCTACTTTTTGTTGGAAGAGGAGAGGGTACTATGAAAATAGTGCTTCTGTTTAAATATAACACTAACATTTTACACGAGCAGAAGATTACACTGAAGAAACAAATAAACTACAGTATGAAAAATGTTAAAACCACCAGATACTCCGTGTCTTTGTCTGTGTAAATGAACCTTATAGCAACAACTTATAATGCCAAAAGGAAAAGGGAAAATACGATACAACAATCTTAAGATTTACAAAACAGAGCATGGTCTTCCCCAATGTTCCTAGGACAATCTTGGGCATGTCAGCTTGTAGATTATTTCCACAGTTCAACCACAAAATTGAGGAACTTCAGTATTTTCTGAAGTTCATAGTTTTGGACATTATACGATTCACAAAGCCCACGTTCAAACATAATGTACACCAATGGTCATTCGAGTTCAGAAAATCTGTCTAGTCCAAAACTACATGCTGGGTAATTTGAGTTCTACCTATTTATGACAACATGACACTGCCAGTGCACAATGTTTCCATACCAAGCAAATCATAGAAGAACAGAGGAAGGCACTTTCATTATCATTATTTGATATTTAAAGCTAAGTTAATACTATGTATATTAGGGAAAATTGCAATTCCAATAACTCTACAAGTTGGATCTAACCTTCAAATGTTTCAGTAATTAGCATTTTCACAAACAATAAGCTATATGCTTGTTGACAATATGATGAACAGTCCGAAAGAAGTCCAGAATTCAGAGCATGGTTTTTACATAACAAATCAAACAAAGGACAAAAAGCTAATGCTCTAACAATCTGATAATCAAAAGCTAATTTTACCGAGTCTATTGTATAACTACAAACAATATAAATGGTGCAGAAATAACATTTACCAGCAGAGTAGCTATCAGGGATGTTGACAATTGCACCCAAAATATTTTTGTTTGTATCCGTATCCTCCACCACATTATCCTGAACATTCCCATAGCATGGAACCAGCACAGCAAAACTACTGTCCGCATCATCATCACTCTGAAATCCTGGTCCATGAGGCTCCAACCATCCAATTGAGTAATCCGAATCATCAGACTCTGACCCCGAAACACATCCACCATCAGATGGTACAAGAACAACATCATATTCCCGGTCAATTTTCCTTTGTTCCCGGCTTTGCCATTTTCTTTTGACCCTCCTAGATGAAGAGGCCATGTCAGCCCTCCCAACTAAGGGAAACTTCAGATTATCTGACTCCCACAAACCTGAATCGGGAGAAGAATTTAAAGAAGAACCGTTTGAGATTCTAGGCTCCTGATGCTTTCCACTCCATAACCACCATGAAAGATGAGTAAGTGCCAAAGCCATAAAGTTCAACAAAAATGGCTGCCAATTGGCTAACCTGCCTCAGGAATCAACCAACATACATAGTAAGCAACAAAAACAAATGTGTAAAAACAAAATCAATCTAAAGAGAAAATGAGGTGATCAACTGATATGAAGTTAACCCCTCCTTATATAGGAGTCCTATGCGGCAAAAGTTAATACGAATTACACAGCTATACAACACCAGATACAATAAACATTAAAAGAGAAAAAAAATCAAAACCTTATAATCCCCTTCCAGTAGTTGAACCAAAAAAAACCAGACAATCATCTCAGCAAACTATTTGAACAACTGCTCAGCTTAATCAATGTAACTCATTTTTAGCGAGAAAAATTATCATTCAAAACCCATTTTCCTGGCTACCAAACAGAGAGTTACATGGTATTGCTAGGAATTACAAAACACGTTCAGATGTACATATCTGTCTATACAATGAATTAAGACAACCCAAAAGGGTTTTATCTTATCTGTCTCCAAATAAATCTAGCTTGGTGGAGTGAAAATATCTAAAAATACAACAGAACGCGGGTTTACCAAAACATTGTAACTAATCAAACAAAATACGAAATTAACCAAAATTGAATTAGTCATATCCAAAATCCGATTCATTTATTTAAAACAAACCTTAAAACCCAGAATTCTTTACAATAAGTACCCATCAAAAAGAGAATCAAAACCCATGTTTTAGTTTCTAATTTTAACTTTACTTCATTTATTCATAATATATGATCAATCAAACAATAAATTAACCACACATTTAAACGACAAACAAAGTTGAAGCTTTTTCATATTTCTTCGTTGCCAAAAATGCTTCTTCCAACCAATTAACCATCTTTGAAAATACACAACAGAAGGAGGAAATACCAAAAAGAATGTTTGCCTTGTAGCTTAAACTTGGAATGTTAAGCGAAGATTCAAAGCATACCCAATTATATAAAATCCCACAACCAAAAAAGAAAAAGAAAAAAGAGAAATTTTCACTTGGACAAAAGTACCTTACAGACCTAAAAACTTAAAGTTTAATCACCCGATTTTTCTCTCTCTCTCTTCACTTTGAAGAATCCAGAGAGAATCCGGGTAAAAAACTGTTGTTGAAGAAGAGTAAAACAAACTAGACAAATAACATATCCATATTGTTTTTAATCATCTACGCTCAAATACAGATTTACAAGGTAGTCCTTGATTAAAATGTCAGCAAACTTAGGGGTATATTTGGGATAAGGATAACTTTGTCATATAAATTTGTGTTTCGCGTGAAAACGTGTGCAGGTGAGTGAAACCCATGTGTGGACTAAGAATGCCAGGTCAGATACGAGGTGCTGTGGTGGCTGTGATGACGTGGCGTTGAGATTGACCAGAGATTTGCGTGTGAAATTTGTCCAAGTAACTTCAGACGGCACGTTTAAACCCAGTTGTTAGGAATAGGTATCATTATGGTTTGGTTTGGTTTGGTCTGGTCTTGGAATTGAACCAATTTTTAATGATAAAAATCTGTAACAATTATTACGTTTCTTGGATGCTTCAATAATTGGTGCCTTGCACCCGTTTGTTCTTGAACTTATTTAATTATTATAATACTCAATTGGGGTTGTTATCCTTGACCTCGGTCATTTCATTTAATTACTATTTTTATTTTATGTTTTAGCTNAATTTAAACAATTATTACGTTTCTTGGATGCTTCAATAATTGGTGCCTTGCACCCGTTTGTTCTTGAACTTATTTAATTATTATAATACTCAATTGGGGTTGTTATCCTTGACCTCGGTCATTTCATTTAATTACTATTTTTATTTTATGTTTTAGCTCAAGTCTTTTACTTAGCTGCCCACAGAATTTGAACTATCACCACTTATCATATTCGATAATTATTTCTTTATAGAATTAACGATAATTTGTTTACAAACAAATCTTTTTATTTAATCTGTTAAAATAATACAAAGGAAATAGTTTTGGTATTATTTTGAGAGTTGACGACTCTTTTCTACCTAAATAATAGTTTAATGATATTTTCTCATCCACATATTTCTAAAATATCATTTTATTATTCAAATTTATATTTCGACTGCGAACAAAAAGTAAATTCGGTTTAAACTATCGAGGTTTTTTAAGATGAGAGGTTAATGAGTTTTTTTGGTAATTGAAGGTTATATTTGGGTGGTTATGATTTATCGGAATTTGATTTGGAAGAGGTGGTTGCGTAAACCCTAATTGTTAACGATTAGCAGAGTTAGCGGGAGTAGGATTTGAGGAGTTTTGATGAGTGATGATCGGCGAAGAGAATGATAGTGGTATAGGGTCGCAACGATATCGGAATCGAAAATGGAATATAAATTTGGATAATAAAGTAGTATTTTAAAAATCTATAGGTAAAAAAATGTCATTAAACAATTATTTGGGTGGAAAAAAGTTGTTTACTCTTGTTTTAAGCATTAGAAAGGAAATTATGCTCTCTTGAAAACAAAATTAACATTGATTTTACTTGTGTAATTAACCATATAATTGATGGTGTGAACTTGGGGCTTATATTTAATGTTTTAGAAAAATAATTTTATGACCCACAAAAAAGCAAGATAAAGGGAAATGGGAGTTGGGCTGCAGGTTCTCGTTTATCCACCTAATTAAAAAAATTAAAATAAATGTGAATCTGATACTGACATATTCTTATCAGTTATAGAATTACCCATACGTAAACGCCAACTTCAAGAGGTGAGTTGGCAGACGCCAGATGTTTATGTGACAAGGTCCATGCAGTTTTTAATGTAACATATCAATAATAATTTGTGGTGGGTTTTAGTCTTTTAGATAATATTAACTTATGGCCTGAAAAAAAAAAAAAAAAATATATATATATATATATATAGTATACCCAGACTCAATTATTGGTATAGCTAATAGCTATTCTGTTGTGACAGTTACACGTCAGTTTCTCATCCCATACAAGAACCAACCAAGCTTTATGGATTGAAGTTTCTACTTTTCATTTATCTTTTTATGATTATTCAAAACAACCTTCATCTTCATCAGTCCTTTCTTTCCAATAATTTATACTCTATGTCATACAAAAATAATTAAAAAAAATGAAAATGGGTTTCAAATTAATTAAGAGATTATGAGTTCGAATCCTCATGACTATTAATAAGAGATAACCATTTGAGACTTATTTGGTCGTTAACTTCAGGGTTTCGAAAGACTAATTAAGGTGTATACAAACTGATCCGGACACTTCAGGTATTAAAAAAAAAAAAAAAAAAAAAAGGTTAATGTATGTGGAAGCTTATAGGAGAGAACATAAAAAAGGTAAGGTTAGTGTTTGGAATTTGCATGGAGAATGTGGTGTAATAAATATAAGGAATCCTTGGAGGAACAGGCAAGCAATTGCAAATGCATGAATGTAAACTATATCTAAAATTGGAGTTAATTAAATCACGCGGTGGCTTTGCCTGAAAGCTATGCATACATTACTAACTAACACGCATTTCGTTAATGGCTTCAAGGGTTTTGCCTATCCTATCGGAGCTTCTTGTTACACATTTATTCTCAATCTCATCATATTCCCTTCCCCTTTTCTTCCATCAGATTTCTGGAAACGGTTTGGAATAGAATATTACGAAGCAATATTGCTGCAATAAAGAACAGACAGATTGAGGAGTTTAATGGGCTGTCACAAATATTTGGACTGTAAAGCCCAAACCTTCGTGGATCCAACCCACATATTAATATATATATATATTTTTTTTTTCTTCTTCTTAAAACTCTACACTGCACTGCAGTGCGAGTAAACTCACCAAAACTGCGAACAAAAACCCTGTGAGTTGTAATACTGTCAAAACAATTGGATTCTTTTTAGCCGTCTCCAGTGTGTAGATGGAGTCTCTTGTGTCTGCTTCTTCACGAACCCAACTCTTGCTTTCACCATCTGTTAATTTATTTAACCAAACTAAGCTTAAAGTAGGAGTCTCACTCGCCTTCACGAACAGAGGGAAGCCGAAACAGAAGCTTTTATTGTGTAAAATGAGTGCGTCCAAGGAGGCCAAGTTATGGGGTGGAAGATTTGAAGAGAGTGTAACAGATGCTGTTGAGAAGTTCACTGAGTCCGTTTCTTTCGATAAAGAACTGTATGAGCATGACATTAGGGGGAGTAAAGCTCACGCATCCATGCTCGTTCACCAGGTTTCTTTTCTTTCTTTTCTCTATTAAGCTCTTATTTCTTAGTTTTTGGAATGTGGGTTGTTTGGTTGACGAGAAAAGTGGGAGAAAGTAATGGAAAAAGTGAAGGAAAATTTTTATCTTTTATGTGGGTTTAGCGTAAATGGGGCGATTGATGTGGTCAGCTGTATTAAATCATAAATGTCTTCTTGAACTAAGCTGAAGAATTTCATTTTGTTAGGACTAAAGAAACATGAAATGAGAAGCTTTAAACATTTTTAAGTTTTTTTCTGTTATTAGCATTCAGAGGAGGAACAACAAATTGCATTCAATTTTATTGCTTTTATACACTATTGTACAATCAGTATCCTTGATAGAAAATAGATGGTACAATTTTTATGTAATTGATACCTAATTTACTAGGTTATTATTTTGTGAACCTAGTTTGTTTTTTTTTTCTTTCTTACAAATAATTTTCTAACCAGTAACATGCATATTCCTTTTTTTTTTTGTAGGGGTTGATCGGTGAAGATGATAGGGAACTTATTTTTCGAGGTCTTGATAAAATTGAGAAACTAATTGAAGCCGGTCAGTTCGTGTGGAGGACTGACAGGGAGGATGTGCACATGAATATTGAAGCAGCCCTCATTGATTTGATTGGTGAACCTGCAAAAAAGCTTCACACCGCTCGCAGCCGAAACGATCAAGTGTTGACAGATTTTCGCCTGTGGTGTCGTGATGCCATTGATATGATTTTGGAAAGCATAAAGCGCCTTCAAATTGCACTGGTGAAGTTGGCATTGAACAATAAGGGTCTTATCATTCCTGGTTATACTCATTTGCAGAGGGCACAACCTGTTTTATTGCAGCATCTTCTCTTAGCATATGTTGAGCAGGTTCAGATTGATACTTTTGTTCCCTCCTGTTCCAGATTGTGATGTAATGTTCCTATATGCTTTTTGGATGGGCAAAAAGAAGATTTTATAGGATTAAAGTCATTCTTATTGGCCTTAGGCCTTGATAATTAGGGAATAGTCATACAGGAATTTTAGAGCTTTATCTGTTGACATACCTTGTGGTTTATAGTCGATGATACATGTGATGGTCATACTCGTGGTCCTGGTTTACTTGAGGATTTGCAAATCTCAAGATAAATTTACAAATCTGTTTTGCTTGTTTTGTAATTTAACCTGGCACAGTGCTAACTATTTGATAGATACCCATCTAACAACTCAAACAATTGGGCTGGGCAGTGGGCCTTTTGTGGACTTGGGTAGAACTTTCCTTGGAAAACCGGCTTGTCAAGGGAGGGTGCCCAAGCCCTTTATAACCCACATGCCTACCCTTTTCCATTCCAATGTGGGATCCTAACACTATGACAATGATGTTATCTTGTAGCTTGAACGTGATGCTGGTCGTTTACTCAATTGCAGAGTTAGGTTGAATTTCTGTCCCCTTGGTGCATGTGCATTGGCTGGCACCGGACTGCCAATTAATAGGTTTATGACCTCAAAAGAGTTGAAATTCACTGCTCCCATGAGGAACAGGTATGCACTGAACCTGTCCTTCAATTTGACTTTTTGGAATATCAAAGGTGACAATTATAGTTAAGAGGCGAAATTGTGGATGCCGTTACAAATATAAACTTATTTTGGAACTGTATGATCCTTCCTCGCTATTATGTTTAGGACTCTGTGACTCTGTATAAGATAGTGTCATTGGTCTAATTTTGTTGGCCACTTTGTTTGTCCAGGCTTTTGATAACAACTCCTGATTGTCCAATTTTAAACTTAGGTTGTCTTTTTATATGTGAATCACCAAAAATGCTCTATTAAAGTGGTTGGAATTTGATATATGGAATCTTCTGTTGAGTTAAGTTGAGGATTAACTTGACTGTAGAAATAAAACATCATTTAATATCTCTTCCTTCATCGTTATGGACTAGGCCTAACAACTTTTAGATTAATGATTGGTTATGCTTTATTTTATTTTGCAGTATTGATGCAGTATCTGACCGAGATTTTGTATTGGAGTTTCTTTCTGCTAATTCAATCACAGCTATTCATCTTTCTCGGCTTGGGGAAGAATGGGTATTGTGGGCTTCAGAGGAGTTTGGGTTTATCACACCAAGTGACTCCGTTTCCACTGGAAGTAGTATAATGCCTCAGAAAAAGAATCCAGATCCAATGGAACTTGTTCGAGGAAAGTCTGCCAGAGTCATTGGAGACTTGGTTACACTTCTCACTCTGTGCAAAGGACTTCCTCTTGCTTATAATCGTGATTTGCAGGTAATTGGTTTATATAATCATTTACCAAGGACACTTTTCCCATTTAGGCAATTTTAATGATAATGGCCCATATTTATATGGTCATGGCTATTTCAGCCTTTATGTCTTGAATCTTAAACTCACAACATCTTGATTTAACCCATCTGTTGGTTCTTAGACGTGTTTAAACGCTATATTAATTCAGTTTCTATGAACTAAGTAGTTTAGTTTCCTTTCCCTTAATCATCTATATTCCTGGAGTTTGCTTAAAAGAGCATTTCTTTTGAGGACAGGAAGATAAGGAACCTACATTTGACAGTGTTAAGACTATTGTTGGGATGCTTGAAGTTTCTGCAGAATTTGCACAAAACATTACCTTCAATCAGGGCAGAATACAGAAGTCTTTACCAGCTGGTCATCTTGATGCCACCACACTTGCTGATTATCTTGTGAAGAAGGCAAGTCCTCATTCTTCAACTTTTATTTTTCACTTGGTAAAAGAACTTATATATTGCTGATATCAAATGTTTTGCTTATGCTCATGCTCATGCTCATGCTCATGTTGGGTTGTGGCTTGGAAGGAATTTGAAGTCTATCTGTTTAATTTGCTAAACACGCCAGCTTTCCTTCTACATCGTAATTTATTCTTTGCAGTATAGCAAGACATATGCCCTTTTATGCCGAATTGATCTTAGTTTGCTCAATGCATTACATGTATTAATCTTCAAATTTCTTGTGCTTTTCCCTGATATCACAGACATTTCTGTTGACTCTGTTCTATTAATCCCTTATGCAGCAAATACCTTTTAGAACTTCACATGATATAGTGGGAAAGGCAGTGGCTTTGTGCGTATCAAAGAACTGCCAACTTCAGGAACTAAGTCTTGATGATCTGAGAGGCATAAGTCCAGTGATTGATAGGGATGTGTATGAATATCTCGGGGTAGAAAATGCAGTTAAGAAATTCAGCTCATATGGTTCCACAGGATATTTATGTGTTGCTGAACAACTTGACTACTGGGTTAGCAAACTTGAAATCAACGAAGTAGCTCATTGTTGTTAATGGCGGCAGAGATGACTTTTTTGAGATCTAGGACTTTGCTGGGATGAGGAGTCTCTATCTAAAAATGGTTATGTGGCAGGCCACAACAATGCAAACTTGCAATTACTTAGATTGAATAGTTGCCTGTCTTATTAAGATCTTGAATGAACAACTGGGATTGAAGTTCTAGTGTGGAGACAGTTCACATTGGTTCGAGAGTTCAGTTAGCAGTGGTATTTAAGCTGGTTCTTGTCCCGATGGAGGTATAATTTGCATCCACCCTTAATGTGGTTTTAGAATTGTTTTCCACCGGGGAAGTTTTTTAGTTTTGGAATTTTGAATTTTCATGAATAATTACTAGAAGTTTAATGCAACTAGTCTATCTTGCGTAACTTTTTTTCGGAATAATATTTCAATAAAAATAAAATCATATCAGTTGAACAAATGGAACTTTCAGGCATATACTACTTTCTCCAAAAATTGAACACCAAGTTCAATTTCAAATGTACTCATTTGAGACAAAACGCATATTCTAACGTTTGTCAAAACTTAACTTGAGATATCATCCTCCAGAAATTTTAGTAAAAGGTGGCAGTATACATCTGAAAAATAGCAGGCATTTTGGTTCCACAGAATAAGAATAACTGCCTACCAGCTCTCTCACCCGTCAAACACTCTTGCCAGACTCGATTATAGCTAGTTTCCTTTAATACACCAAATTCATTCAGAATGCTTCCCTCGTCGAATCTTTGAGATCACAGGCACATGGTTCTTGTTAAGTTCATCGGGCCTACACAGCAATTTTCCCTGCTTTTCTTGGACTTTTTGTGTTCTCCGAAGGTGAGCAAGGCATATCTGCGCTATCATTCTCTGTAACTGGTTTTTGCCCTTTCTTTCTCTGTCCAGGCTTTCGAGAAATTGGTTTCATCTGCAGGAATTTCAATTAACTGTTACCCAGCAAATAAATAATGGTTGCATTGAATTTTTCAAGAAAATGTATCTGTCCAACTGCGCAACATTAATTGCACCGAGATGATTACAAAAAGACTGAAGAGAGGATTAATTGCATGGGCCTAAATGACCCCATTATCCCTGCCCCCACCAGAAAAGAAAAATCTAAACATGAGTTTGAAGCATTACCAGTGTGTTCCCAATCTCTTTCAGTGCTTGCTTTCTTGGGCCACAATTATTTTTCATCTCTGGAGGTTTCTCGACAAGGGTATTTTGAAATAACATTGCATCTTGAGAAGCCAAAACGCTGTGCTTCTCAATTTCATTAATCCCTGTTCCCCTATTGCTGCACTTGGAGGCTTCACAGCCACAAGAAGTTCCACAACTGCCCCCAGCAGCCCGGCATCCACATTTCGAGGTCTTGCACAAAGATTTTTTGCTACAGGAGCAGCACACTCCTGACACTGATTTTGCAGCTATAACTCCCTCAGAAGACTCCAATTGAGATGCGGCCATGTCCAGTATATCAATACTACTTCCAGTGGAAGCGGAAGATTGAACATGATGTTCCTGATCATCCAAGATACCATAACTGAAAAAAGTTACATATTATTTTTATACATGACAGTCTCTCGCAGATTTGTGCCACTCAAGCTCCAGACATAAGCATACTGTTTCTCAACATCAAGACATAACAGAACAAGCAAATGAACCAACCTGAGACTTCTGATGATTTACTCCTGCATTTGGTGTAGCCATTTGGCTAAGTAAACCACTCAGTCTAGCTACTTCTTCTTTAAGGTCTCGTAACTCTGAATCGTTGACTCTGAGGTCAACTTCATTATCCTCCAATAGGCACCTAAAAGAAGCACTCAAATTTGGTTTCAAGCATCGTTGACCACATTATACTGTGAACTTATTTCAGGAAAAATCTGCAGCTAAAACTCACCTAGAATTTTCGTCCTTCAGTGTCTCCGCTTCTAACTTGAGTTTCTCAATTACATCAGCCATCCTAACCAAAATTTATGTTCAGATTTGAAATGAACAAACAAAAAAATTTTGAAAACCAAAATTTAGGTGGAGTTGACAAAGATTAACCATCATATTTTAAAGTTCATGCAAAGAGTTTATAATCACCATACCAAGTGTATCCAGCATTGACTATATGCACATGTGCATGGATATGCTTTTCAGCTAAATCTACCTTAAATAAGAAAAGAAGGCACACATCTTCAAGGAATGAAGGGCATCAGATATCTAATTGGACTCTCCATGCACGTGAAAAATGGTTATTCAAGTATAATGTTAAGTTTACATAACTTCAAAGCTACAAATTTCACATTTGTAGACACAGATAAATTTCAGGATAACATAATTTACCCTATTTTGGCACAAGTAATTTCTTTGTCAAAAAATTTTCATAATTGGATTTTGGATTCCGGAAATATTAAAAAAATATATATATTTCTGCAAAATTCATATACGTATAATGTTTGGTATCCATGTAACCATCTTGAGAAGACATGCCGGTGATGTGGGTCAGGGGAGAAAGACTGTGTACACAACATTTTGTTGAAAAAACTGGAACAGGTTACCAGACAGTAAATGCTGGTCAATTCTGTTGATATTTGAGAAAGAACATAATTGAATCAAAGATTGTAAACCAAAAATGAAAAAAAGAGTAACTTACGTCATGAATGCTATTACATATATGAAGTATTTAATGGTATGTACCACTCTCAGTAATTAAAAAAAAAAAAAAATCTCTCTGAAACTGCTGTTGAAGAGAAATCACTACTCAAGAATCCAATGGAGTTTATCACTATCTCCAATGAATTTAGTAATAACAACAATTTTGAAAGGAAAATTAATTCAATAAGTCAAGATTAAAGCCATTTCATTGCACAAAAGGAAAATTTGAAGGCTGATTACTGAAGCTTCAGTTGTATTGCTATGCTAAACAAACAACTAAGGAATTATGAGTGATTCAATATAGAAGTTCTTAGACGTGTTTAAACCCTATATTAATTCAGTTTCTATGAACTAAGTAGTTTAGTTTCCTTTCCCTTAATCATCTATATTCCTGGAGTTTGCTTAAAAGAGCATTTCTTTTGAGGACAGGAAGATAAGGAACCTACATTTGACAGTGTTAAGACTATTGTTGGGATGCTTGAAGTTTCTGCAGAATTTGCACAAAACATTACCTTCAATCAGGGCAGAATACAGAAGTCTTTACCAGCTGGTCATCTTGATGCCACCACACTTGCTGATTATCTTGTGAAGAAGGCAAGTCCTCATTCTTCAACTTTTATTTTTCACTTGGTAAAAGAACTTATATATTGCTGATATCAAATGTTTTGCTTATGCTCATGCTCATGCTCATGCTCATGTTGGGTTGTGGCTTGGAAGGAATTTGAAGTCTATCTGTTTAATTTGCTAAACACGCCAGCTTTCCTTCTACATCGTAATTTATTCTTTGCAGTATAGCAAGACATATGCCCTTTTATGCCGAATTGATCTTAGTTTGCTCAATGCATTACATGTATTAATCTTCAAATTTCTTGTGCTTTTCCCTGATATCACAGACATTTCTGTTGACTCTGTTCTATTAATCCCTTATGCAGCAAATACCTTTTAGAACTTCACATGATATAGTGGGAAAGGCAGTGGCTTTGTGCGTATCAAAGAACTGCCAACTTCAGGAACTAAGTCTTGATGATCTGAGAGGCATAAGTCCAGTGATTGATAGGGATGTGTATGAATATCTCGGGGTAGAAAATGCAGTTAAGAAATTCAGCTCATATGGTTCCACAGGATATTTATGTGTTGCTGAACAACTTGACTACTGGGTTAGCAAACTTGAAATCAACGAAGTAGCTCATTGTTGTTAATGGCGGCAGAGATGACTTTTTTGAGATCTAGGACTTTGCTGGGATGAGGAGTCTCTATCTAAAAATGGTTATGTGGCAGGCCACAACAATGCAAACTTGCAATTACTTAGATTGAATAGTTGCCTGTCTTATTAAGATCTTGAATGAACAACTGGGATTGAAGTTCTAGTGTGGAGACAGTTCACATTGGTTCGAGAGTTCAGTTAGCAGTGGTATTTAAGCTGGTTCTTGTCCCGATGGAGGTATAATTTGCATCCACCCTTAATGTGGTTTTAGAATTGTTTTCCACCGGGGAAGTTTTTTAGTTTTGGAATTTTGAATTTTCATGAATAATTACTAGAAGTTTAATGCAACTAGTCTATCTTGCGTAACTTTTTTTCGGAATAATATTTCAATAAAAATAAAATCATATCAGTTGAACAAATGGAACTTTCAGGCATATACTACTTTCTCCAAAAATTGAACACCAAGTTCAATTTCAAATGTACTCATTTGAGACAAAACGCATATTCTAACGTTTGTCAAAACTTAACTTGAGATATCATCCTCCAGAAATTTTAGTAAAAGGTGGCAGTATACATCTGAAAAATAGCAGGCATTTTGGTTCCACAGAATAAGAATAACTGCCTACCAGCTCTCTCACCCGTCAAACACTCTTGCCAGACTCGATTATAGCTAGTTTCCTTTAATACACCAAATTCATTCAGAATGCTTCCCTCGTCGAATCTTTGAGATCACAGGCACATGGTTCTTGTTAAGTTCATCGGGCCTACACAGCAATTTTCCCTGCTTTTCTTGGACTTTTTGTGTTCTCCGAAGGTGAGCAAGGCATATCTGCGCTATCATTCTCTGTAACTGGTTTTTGCCCTTTCTTTCTCTGTCCAGGCTTTCGAGAAATTGGTTTCATCTGCAGGAATTTCAATTAACTGTTACCCAGCAAATAAATAATGGTTGCATTGAATTTTTCAAGAAAATGTAATTGTCCAACTGCGCAACATTAATTGCACCGAGATGATTACAAAAAGACTGAAGAGAGGATTAGTTGCATGGGCCTAAATGACCCCATTATCCCTGCCCCCACCAGAAAAGAAAAATCTAAACATGAGTTTGAAGCATTACCAGTGTGTTCCCAATCTCTTTCAGTGCTTGCTTTCTTGGGCCACAATTATTTTTCATCTCTGGAGGTTTCTCGATAAGGGTATTTTGAAATAACATTGCATCTTGAGAAGCCAAAACGCTGTGCTTCTCAATTTCATTTATCCCTGTTCCCCTATTGCTGCACTTGGAGGCTTCACAGCCACAAGAAGTTCCACAACTGCCCCCAGCAGCCCGGCATCCACATTTCGAGGTCTTGCACAAAGATTTTTTGCTACAGGAGCAGCACACTCCTGACACTGATTTTGCAGCTATAACTCCCTCAGAAGACTCCAATTGAGATGCGGCCATGTCCAGTATATCAATACTACTTCCAGTGGAAGCGGAAGATTGAACATGATGTACCTGATCATCCAAGATACCATAACTGAAAAAAGTTACATATTATTTTTATACATGACAGTCTCTCGCAGATTTGTGCCACTCAAGCTCCAGACATAAGCATACTGTTTCTCAACATCAAGACATAACAGAACAACCAAATGAACCAACCTGAGACTTCTGATGATTTACTCCTGCATTTGGTGTAGCCATTTGGCTAAGTAAACCACTCAGTCTAGCTACTTCTTCTTTAAGGTCTCGTAACTCTGAATCGTTGACTCTGAGGTCAACTTCATTATCCTCCAATAGGCACCTAAAAGAAGCACTCAAATTTGGTTTCAAGCATCGTTGACCACATTATACTGTGAACTTATTTCAGGAAAAATCTGCAGCTAAAACTCACCTAGAATTTTCGTCCTTCAGTGTCTCCGCTTCTAACTTGAGTTTCTCAATTACAGCAGCCATCCTAACCAAAATTTATGTTCAGATTTGAAATGAACAAACAAAAAATTTTTGAAAACCAAAATTTAGATGGAGTTGACAAAGATTAACCATCATATTTTAAGGTTCATGCAAAGAGTTTATAATCACCATACCAAGTGTATCCAGCATTGACTATATGCACATGTGCATGGATATGCTTTTCAGCTAAATCTACCTTAAATAAGAAAAGAAGGCACACATCTTCAAGGAATGAAGGGCATCAGATATCTAATTGGACTCTCCATGCACGTGAAAAATGGTTATTCAAGTATAATGTTAAGTTTACATAACTTCAAAGCTACAAATTTCACATTTGTAGACACAGATAAATTTCAGGATAACATAATTTACCCTATTTTGGCACAAGTAATTTCTTTGTCAAAAAATTTTCATAATTGGATTTTGGATTCCGGAAATATTAAAAAAATATATATATTTCTGCAAAATTCATATACGTATAATGTTTGGTATCCATGTAACCATCTTGAGAAGACATGCCGGTGATGTGGGTCAGGGGAGAAAGACTGTGTACACAACATTTTGTTGAAAAAACTGGAACAGGTTACCAGACAGTAAATGCTGGTCAATTCTGTTGATATTTGAGAAAGAACATAATTGAATCAAAGATTGTAAACCAAAAATGAAAAAAAGAGTAACTTACGTCATGAATGCTATTAGATATATGAAGTATTTAATGGTATGTACCACTCTCAGTAATAAAAAAAAAATCTCTCTGAAACTGCTGTTGAAGAGAAATCACTACTCAAGAATCCAATGGAGTTTATCACTATCTCCAATGAATTTAGTAATAACAACAATTTTGAAAGGAAAATTAATTCAATAAGTCAAGATTAAAGCCATTTCATTGCACAAAAGGAAAATTTGAAGGCTGATTACTGAAGCTTCAGTTGTATTGCTATGCTAAACAAACAACTAAGGAATTATGAGTGATTCAATATAGAAAAGAATAACTAGGACTCACTCTTCCATTTCCTGTTCATACTGAGAACACACTTCCTGAATTTGTACTGTCACGTCAAGCTCATGCTCAATACTCTGCAACAGTGCCATCCCATAACAGATATAAAATATAGAGAACATCATAATTACTTTATATATACATGAAACTGAAAAAATTTTATGGAGGGGTTTATCCTAAAGAGTGAGAACACAATCACCTCCCGCAAAACAAACAGTTTTAATTTCATCAAAAAATAGATAAAAATTTTAGGGAAAATGTAAAAGAAAAAATGTTGGTTTTGAATGGTTACAATACAGAAATTTAAAAATCCATTGCACCCTTGGTTCCCGCCACAGCAATCACAGAGGAAACCAATGTCCTTAAGTTGTTAAAAGTCTTTTACATCCCAGAGTATTTCAGTCCCTAGATCAAACCATAGTGGAAACAGATTTATTCCCAAAACTAAAAACTTAACAATGAAAGTGGATGGTAACTAATAATTGACATTTTGAAAAAGAAGTGATATCCACCATCAAACAATGAATGTGCACAAAACTCCATCACAATTCCCATCTCAAGCATACCAAAATGTGCAATGCACAAAACTAAATAATCCTTTTCATTGTCTACTAACGTATGTACTACTGCCAGATGTGTTATGCATACCTGATGTTGAGAATGATTGCCAGCTCGAGCACCTAAAATACATATAAAAGAAAATAAAAGTAAATCATGATCATACATAACAAACATGAGCAGAATGAAAGTTTAAGTATCTAAACCAGCAGTTCTGCATTTCAAATCCTTTCGAAATTCTAATAGCTCTTTTAGTCGTTTCATTGCCATGAAAGCTTCTTTGGTCTTCCGCTGCAGAACCTGACACAAAGAATCAAAGGTGAAAAGAAAATTATCATCAATACCCTGGCATAAGAAACATACAACAGTATTTCATTTTGAGCTCCTACAGGACGAATATTTGAAAGAAGAAACGAGAAAACTAATGAGACAACAACATATAGCATGGCACAGAGAATATTCACTGACCAACTTCTGCCTCTGGTTAATAGCTAATAGAAGATGCATCTCATACTCAATTCTTCTGTTCTCTTTCTTTAGCTGTTGACAGGGAAATAAAATATTCCAAAAATGTTAAACACCTTGGCATAACAAACTTTTCCAATGACTAAGAACATTAATAAACCTATCATGTTACTGGCTTAGATCTGCATATTGTTGAAAAGTGACAACAGATGAAGGAAATGATATTAACATCATAATTGACAACATTCTACAGGCTTAGCCCATTAACTGCAAAAACTCTCAGCACATTACAAAATTATTACTAGATACCAAGACCAGCTGCTAAACTCATTGTAATTTGCAGGGTCCAAAAAGTCAAATACAGTTGGGAAATAGAAAATACGGCCATAGACCAACCACTTAAACTCTAAAGAATACCACTACATATCCAGATGGACACGGTTGATATAGATACCATTTATACAATGCAGAACATGTTCGTTGTGATTTCAGTCCCTCTCAGCTTCATAAGTTCTGTTACCCTTTAAGAATTATGGGGAAAAGCTGATATAAAATTCTTTGGAGAAATAAGGGTGAAAATTTAAAAATAAAAGTACTTTCTCAAAATAGTTATCCTTCACAAAGTTGTATAATTTTACTGAAAGAACAAGAAGAACAAAAATCTTTGAACTAAATAAAGAGTACAAATATAGAAATATTTTCCAAGTATAATGCAACAGGCAATAGGTCAATGTGGTAATTTCATTTTTATCATTTGTCTTAAAAACTAAACATTTATCACCGATCATAGTATACCATTATGTATGTAGTAACAACAAAATTGCTTAGAAATAATTGACACATAAATAGAATTTGAAGAGGAAAAAAAAAAGAGCTTCAATTATTTAGAGGAACTCATTAATGTAAATCAAGAAAGAAGAACGGACTGATTAGGGAATGTCACTAGATAGGCATCAGAATTTGCTTCCCCATATTACATTTTATTATAAACAATATATTACGAGGATTCAACATTGTAAATTTTAAGAATAAAATATATGCATAAAAGATAAAAGCATTTATAATAATTCCATACCTCCAACCTCATGCATGACATTCAGAGAAAATAACATAAAAAACCAGAAATCAGCATAAAATGATAGTTAATCATAGAAACTCATACTTGAAGAATTTCCTTCTGCATTGAAGACCTACACAACCTGAACTGTACGGACTCTAGCTTGAGCTTGCACTGAAGTTGAACCTGAATACAACAAAATTGCACCAATTGCAAACCAAAAAAAATGTATACTGTAGTATTTGTGTAGGAATCTTTTATAGACAGAGTAAGCTACCTTCTGAGCCCTTAACCTCTTAATCTCATCCTGAATATCTTGTGCTGCCTCATCACTTTTAGGTTCCTGTGTTGAAAGATCAGACTTCACTTTTAGTTTATACCAACTCCAAAAACAATGACAGCATTATATATANATGCATAAAAGATAAAAGCATTTATAATAATTCCATACCTCCAACCTCATGCATGACATTCAGAGAAAATAACATAAAAAGCCAGAAATCAGCATAAAATGATAGTTAATCATAGAAACTCATACTTGAAGAATTTCCTTCTGCATTGAAGACCTACACAACCTGAACTGTACGGACTCTAGCTTGAGCTTGCACTGAAGTTGAACCTGAATACAACAAAATTGCACCAATTGCAAACCAAAAAAAATGTATACTGTAGTATTTGTGTAGGAATCTTTTATATACAGAGTAAGCTACCTTCTGAGCCCTTAACCTCTTAATCTCATCCTGAATATCTTGTGCTGCCTCATCACTTTTAGGTTCCTGTGTTGAAAGATCAGACTTCACTTTTAGTTTATACCAACTCCAAAAACAATGACAGCATTATATATAGATCAATAGAATTACTGTATAACATGCCCTTCTCAGGGGAATCTGAATTCACCTGCGTTTCTAGGGCAGTCACCTTTTGAAGATGCACCTCATTGAGCTTTTGAACACTGGCATCAGGAGTGGATGAAAAGTTAGCCAGTTTGTTCCTCATTTCCTCAATCTCCCTCTGCCAGGTCGCAAAAAAAGTGACAAAATAATATCCCCTTAGTTTCTTTACTACCCAAAGAGAGGAAATTTAGAAAATTTTGATTATTAAGTAAAGATAGCTAGTTTTTAAAATGCCTATAACTGAAATGAAGCTACATCCTATCAAAACATGGTATCCACATATCTTTGCATATATCACCTATCAGCACCTATAATTCCACACACAAACTTTGGTTTCTACAGTTCTAGTCCACAAATCTGACTGGTATAAATATCAATATTTCTACCAAGGTGATTTCATGTCAATTTTCACATACTTTTGTAATATTGTGAAAATATAATCCTCGAATCACTTTTGCTCCGAGTCTTTTACTATAGTTTCCATCAGCCAAACAGACTTGAATAAATTAGTTTAAAAAAAGATCATAATAATGACAATAAGATCAGATCAATAAAATCTTCTTTACTTATGGACATTTTCTCAGCAAACAAGCAGATTCTCAAAAAATCACAAAATAGAAGCTCGAAAAGCAAAGAAAAAAAATAAACCTTTAGCGTCTTGTTTTCCAGTTCCAGCTTATGAACTTTATCACCAACGGCTGATGGTGATTGTGATGGTGATGAATAAACGACGTTGGTTTGCTTTGATCGACGATTCGGCTTCTTCATCTTCTCTGCAGTCAGGACATGTTTGCTCACTTTATCATAGATATAATCAAACGAAGTGTCGTTAACATCAAAAAGAAAATTGGATGGTAAGAGAAACCTAATCGGATGCACTGTAGCTCTTTGCAGAGCTTTATCACCTCAGTTTGCAAATGCAATCTCCGCGCCTCTGTCTGGCTTTTGAATTTCGTTATTTATTTTTATGGTTTTATTACATTTCGCTGCCACGTCAGCAATTTGGAGATTGAGGAAAATTTAAAAATCGTCACTATGTTGGATTTAAAGGTCTAAAGCCTAAGAAATAAGAGGTTATAGAAGAAACGTGTATTAGAGTAGAATTTTTACGAAAATTTTGTTATTTGTTTGGTTAGAAAAATATAAAAGAGTTTTCTCATATTAATTTATCAAAAAGAATATTAATATGTAAGAATAGATCAAGAGAAATTTAAAAAACTTTAAAGATTGAATAGGAATGTTTTTAAAATTTGAACATTTTTAATAATTTTTAAAGGAAAAACTCAAATTTTGAGCTTCTCCTAAAAACCATAAATAATTTTTTTATAACCCTATAAACATTTTTGAAATGTAACCAAAACAACTTTAAAAAAAATAAAAAATGCTTAAAGGAATAAAAAAAAGTTATTTTGGTCAATAGAAAAGTCTAATGAAACAGGCTTTTAATCATTGAAACGTGTCAGTGTGATGAAACCAGAGACATTGTAAATTTCAAGCATGAGATTTAAATTCTGAAATTCCAATCAAATTTTGTGTATATTTTATTTATTTAAGTGATGAATAAGGTAGTTAAAACGATCATATATTTGTAATGACCATACTTTCCCTATGTTCAATGAGCACTTTTCTAGTGACCTTTTCTCAAAAATGACCTCGGAAACTTGTCTAACAAAATATGGCTATGGAACCACATTTAATATGACCTCGGAAACAAGGAGTTTTTCAAACTAGGAGCAAGAGACCACTCCTAAGAGTTTCATTGAACTTTGGGAACTTTTACATTCGAATCTCGTGCACAAACGAAGACTAACTAAACTCTCAAACCAGTCTTTTTATAGATTGAAGCTAAAGGTAGCAATCATGATCTGTTCTTCAACTGCTAGAACAGCAATCAATTTCATATTCTACACAATAAAATACACTACCAAGGCTCCAACTAATCATGTTAGATCCCACAAATCCATGAATGGCGTACATGTCAACCAATATGGTGGTTTCGTTTGACTGAAGTTAACGGCTGCAGTTCTCTTTCTCCTCTGAAGTTCTTTTTGGCCGAGCAGGACTACTCGAAGCGAGAATGGTAGTTTCCTTGTTAACTGTTTCATCTGATTGATCAGCATTTCTATCCCTCAACAGGTTGCTACTATTTGATGCAGCTGAACGCATTGCCCTTGGTAACTTCAAAGGAATGTCTGCCTCACTTGCACTATTGTCTGCCTTTTTGGGAACTTCGGCTTCGGTAGTGTTGTTTTCTGGCGGCATGGAAGTTGGGGCAACAGGAACTAGCTGAATAACAGATTTCCGCCATTTCTTTCTCTGATTTGGCTTTGGTGCATTGGACTTAACCTGTTTGATTTGCACATAACATTTGTTAAGACAAAGTTAAAAGAAAACAAATGTACTAACCAAACACACTTTCATATATGCCAATATAATACTACTGAAAGTTCTTTGGATTCTTTCCCATCGACAAAAAGGATAAATAAAAGGAAACTAACCAATGCGTTTCCAATGTCTGACAGAGGTTTCCTCCTTGACCCACCATCATTATTTGTCTCAGTAGGCTTCTCAATAAGTGCGCTCTGGAGTAGCATTGCACCCTCTGAGGCAAGAAGGTGATTCTTCTCCTTATCATCAGCCCCTGGACCACTCTCTTCACTGTTGGCCACATCAGATTGTGGCAAGTCATGCTTCTTGCCGATAACAGCTTCTCTGTTGGAGCACTTAACGGCTGCACATCCGCATGATGAACTACAAATGCCCCCAGATGCTCGGCAGTGACATTTATTTGTCTTGCATGATGAGCTCTTGCTACATGTGCAACATAATCCGGATTCATTGTTCTCTTTCTGAGCAACAGTTTCCTCACCTGAATAGTCTAATCTCAGTTTTTCTGAAACATCAACTCCTAACTGATTGAACTCAACACTTGAGCGACCTCCATTTTTAGAACTTCTTTTCTTCACAGGCCGTTTTCTTGACTTTACCCATTCGTCATCTCCATCTATATCTGAATTTACCCATTCGTCATCTCCATCTATATCTGAATGTTCTGAATCAGACGTGTCCATATCCTCCAAAAATATGAATGAGCTCCGGTATCCCTAGAGTAGTAAATAGACATATCAGAAAGGAACTTATATGAAAACCTATCAATAAATATCTATTGATCTTTGAGAAAAAAACTTGAAGGAGAGAGAAATTGGCATCTACCGTCTTGCGCAAATCGTACTTACGCCCTCGGTCGAAATTGTCCGAGTCTTCTGGTTTCACAGATAAGTTTCTTAAAGTTGCATTCTGTTACAAGGATAAATGAAAATAGAAGAAAAGTTAAATAAAAACTGCTAAAGTTAAAAGCATCTCCAATATTATTGGAAAGTTAACAAATACACTAACCTGCAACTTCAACTGATGAATCAGTTCTGCCTTCTGTGTTTCAAGTTGTCTGGCAAAACTACTGAGTTTCACTACCTTTTCCTTAAGATCTCTTATTTCTGTCTCTTTCTCTCTGCAATCAACTTCCTTATCTCGTAACAAGCACCTAAAACAAACAGCAAAACATCATGTTAACAGCAAAACCCGTTGACTGAACTTTTGATAAATCTGAAATTTGATCTCAATGTAGTAATTTGATAAAGATTTTACTTGCAATCATACTTAGCATAAAACAATCACAACAAAACATTAGGGATTGTTTGGTGGTTAGCTAATATGTTTTGAGTTGATAAGAAAAATGCACATTTAAGTTAGGGTATACAAATTTCAATATTTGCAACAATTGATAGTCTCATGATAGTAATTTGATAAAGATTTTACTTGCAATCATACTTAGCATAAAACAATCACAACAAAACATTAGGGATTGTTTGGTGGTTAGCTAATATGTTTTGAGTTGATAAGAAAAATGCACATTTAAGTTAGGGTATACAAATTTCAATATTTGCAACAATTGATAGTCTCATGACAAATCAATTATCTTGTAAGACTTACAAGAGCTTAAGAAATATATACATGTAAAGATTGACTGAAATTTTATATGAAAAGGTTGACTTCTATATAATACCTGGAAGAGGATGCTAAATTGAAAAGATAATTCATAATGTTTTTTGCATCAGCAAGGGACCGAACTTGGTTCCAACGTCCTCTACCACTAAAAATTCGTTCACGCTCTTCTGCTTCTGACAATTGTGATGCCATAGAAACTAGGGTACTAGAAGAAGTTGCTAGCATGTTTTCAAGAGCAAATATTCTTGAATTTCTTGCACCAGGAGACATGGTTTCTGGGCTATCACTGCATTTTACAGTAATCAAAGATAGATTTCGTTATTGATATCCTTCTAATAATGTTAAAAAGATAATATACAACCTCAACCTCTACCTTAAATTAGTTTGCTTCAGCACTTGTGCCTCGTCCTTCAACTTTGCAATCTCATTGGCCATCCTTGCCCTCCTACAATACCGAAATATACTTTGAATCAATTTACTTGAATACATGCACAAATGAATATTTACTTAAATACATTCATAAATGAAACCAATTCAGGAACAATATATTCAAACTGAGAAAAAAATTGAAGTCCCAACTGCATAAATTTAAACTAATGCTACCAGGCTTAAAGTTTAAGTTAACTGTTGTATACTTTTCCACAAACTTTCTTACATAAAAATCATAAATATGGACTCACTCTTCCATTTGGCGCTCATATTCAGAACGTACTTCATGTACCCGCACTGTGACTTCAAGCTCATGCTCAACTGTTTGCATTAGAGCCTTCTCATAGAAAATATTGTGTTAGTATGAAAGAATCACTTCCTAAAGCATAGAACCAAATTATTCATTAACATACAACTTAGAACAAACAATTTTACTTACCTGAATTCCAGGACCATTCCCATTTCCAACACCTGCATCAAAAAATTTAGAAAAAATCCGATTAATTACAATTACAAAAACGGAAAAAATAACTCATGAGACGGTAAATTCTGAACCGGAATTTTCACCTGAGGAAGCTTTTCGAGATTCCAAAAGCTCTTTAAGTCTCTTAGTAGCCATAGAAGCCTCTTCTGTCTTTCTTTGCAAGACCTGAAATGAAAATTAGCAGTTGAAGAACAACACTCTTAGGAAAAAGAATACCCTCCTAACACCGAAGTGGATATCAATTTACCATTTTCTGCCTCTGGTTTAGAGCTAATAGCTTATGCATCTCATACTCATTCCTCCTTCCTTCTTTCTTAAGCTGGTAATTGACAACAAAAAATTTTACAATACTGGTAAGCAATATAACCAATGCAGAAAAAAACAGGAGATGTAATACTTCTGTAAAGATGTTCCAACAATTCTGAGGAGGATCAACCTTGGTTGTTTAAAGATCAACATCTAGAACGTTTATGTATCAAAACCAAATATACTTTCACCTAACCACAGTATATATCTATTATTATTATGACTTTTCTTAAGGTTGAAAGCTTCTATTTCAAAAGATTTTTTTTCCCAATTTCAAAGTTATAAGAGGTTTACTTATCTTCTTAATGAACCCAATTATATTCAAACAGGATCAACAACCTAATACACGCTTTATAAAAAATTTCAAAGACAAAAGCAATCCGCTTGGGAACAAAACGAGCCATATTGAAAGATTTGGGTTTAGTTAGTTCATTATTGCCATTTTTTTCCTTCGTATACAACATATAAAATACTCAAAAAATACATACATTCAGCAATTATAACACCATCTCTATTAAACTTATTTGACTCATCCAATAACTATAGCAAATAGTATTTCATAAAACTATTAAAACATGAAACACCATAGTCCTTTATTTTCACTATACCTGAAGAACTTCCTTTTCTCGAGATGCCTTCCATAACCTGAACTGCTCAGACTCTTGCTTAATCTTATGTTGCAATTGAACCTAAAATACACAAAATTGTGTTAATACTAAGAGCAAACAATAATATTCATGTATCATATAAACTAATTGCTTCCATAAAAAAGGGAACCTTCTGAGACTTAATTCTATGAATCTCATCCTGTAGCCGTTTTGCTGCCTCATCACTTTTTTGTTTCTGTCTCAAGAGTTGAGCTTGAGCATCTTGTTTTTTCTTCAACTGTGAAACCTGCGAAGCAGAAAGTCAATTCAGAAAGATAACTGGAGTTAAAAAAGAAAGGCAATTCTAAATATACCTGTGCCTCAAGGACATTCAACTTCTGAAGGTACTCTTCCTTCAATTTTTTAGCACCATCGTCAGAAGTAGATGATATATTTGCAAGATTGTGCCTCAGTTCCTCAATTTCTTTCTGCAATGTGATAACAATAATAGAAACTGATTTACTGGAACGACCTTTAAATTGCAAATAAAAATAAGTTTTATAGAAAGAAATTGACCTGCAAAGTCTTCTTTTCATGTTCAAGCTCTAGGACTTTCTTCTCATAATGTTGTTTAAGAACTGAAGTATCAGCACTAGCAAATCGCTTCATTTCAGCCTTCAAGAGATCAATGAAAAAGGAAAACACAGCAGTTAAACTACAAAGAATAAGAGAAACAGAATCATGTGGGAGATGAGAAAATCCTAATGCCAGGATGTATGTTATTATGTCGAAAGGAAGAGATGCTCTTACACATTATAAGCAACTTATGAAAAATTTTGGAAGAATTATATGTGGTTTATGAGACCTTAAAAATATTTGTTTTATCCATCTAAGAAATTGTTATGCCTTTATCCTGGAGTGCAAACCAAGAAATGGCCAAAACTACTTCATCAAAAAAATCTCCGGTAAGCCTGCATGTTTGAAGCAATCTGGGAAAAGTGGGTGGCAAAGATAAATCTAACAAAAACAGTACTTGAGGAACATTTACCTCCTTTTGTTCAAGTTTCCTATCCAACTCTTTGAGCTCTTTGTCCAATTTTTCTTGAAGAGAAGAATGTTCTAACTCCTTCTCTTCATCTTCAATCTCATCTGCATATATTTTGAAAGACCTTAATCTTCGTATATTTGTACAGCTACCTCATCGAATTGAAATTGGAATGCCAAAATCAATAATATAATGCTATAAAAGATGCATGCAAAAATGTTCTTATAAATGTATAGTATCTTAAACACGGCAATGATGAGAACACCAAAATTTGTATGTAGGATGAGTCCTCTGTGATAGAGAAGCCAATAGCCTTCATCCAACTTGAAGTACAAAAGGCAGAGGAATGCTTATGTTCAACAAAATAATCTTAAACCATCAAAGCAACCCATATCTTACCAGAAATGTCCACAGCTTTGGTATCACAATCAGAAGAAAACTCATTTAAACATGGGAATAGTACATTCTTTGAGCGGAATCCATCATCATCAAATTCAACACAATCAGCAGTTCGACTACGTTTGGAGCTGTATGAGTTCTTCACACGCAACAATTCCCCTTCTAACTCTTGAATTTTAGACACATAAGTTTTCAACAAATCAAAGTCCTGAAAAGGAAAATGACAGAATCACGTGTCACAATTTTTTTAATCAGGTAGCTATGATAACACAAAGGATAGAAATTGACTCACTAACCTTAGTTGAATTACAGTCAATCTCATCCCATGATTTCCCATTCCGAGCTGATTCAATTTGTATTACCAATTTGTCCTTTTCAACCTGAAATATTAAATGTATTTCAGAGATGACTCGGTGCCAAAAAAAAAATGTGTAAAAAATTCATAAAACTAAAGCACCGAAAAAAAGAAAAAACCTGAGCATCCAGAGCACGTTGTTTTAAATGCTCACAAGTTACCCTGCGTTCTTGAAGCTCCCGTTGTAACTCACTGTTGCTTGCTTCGAGTAAAGATACTTTGTGTTTCAGAATCTGCAAAAGAAGAGTTGCCTAAGCAATCAAAGTCTGGATAATAGGCGCACAGACTCTGTTATAAGCTAATATACCTGAAGATCATCATAAGGTGAACTCAAATCGCCACGATAAAATAGAAGCTCGGCCTGCAACTGCTCAATTTGGCTCCGCATCCTTTGCATTTGAGCAGCCATTGGATCACGGTTGATCTAACATCACAAAATAAACTAGGGGGTCAAAAAGAGAAGCATGACAATTAAAAGTGGTGAATATTTCAATTAATAGAACTTACAACTGCTTTGTTCTGAATGTTACGAGCTCGATTTGCATACTTCAAAGTGTTTAAAGTCTCCTCAGCATTTGTGTCCGCAGGACTAACACAAGCTATAGTTGAACGTATCAAATCAAATTAATAAAATCAAAAACTTCAATTAAAAATAATTTATAATTTTCAACATTTAAATCACATACCAATCATCACTGTTTTGCTGTTTCCTCCAAGAGAATCCTAAAATTTCAGATTTCAATATCAGATTAAAAAAGATTTTCTACAAGACTAAAACAACTTCAAATATGTTCATTTCTACACAAATAAATTCAAAACAGTAAATTTAAGTTTTTTTTTTATCAAATATGAAATAATGATATAACCCTAACAAATATTTGAAAACAAATATTTAAGATTAAAGAAAACAAATAGATTTTCATGCCTGTAATAAGCGTGTCAACTTGCTATCACGATATGGAACATGACCTCCTTCTTTACGCTTCTTCTCATCACCCAAAGCACTTATTACATTACCAAGAGCTAATAAACCCTTATTGATATGGATGCCTAAACCACAAATAACATTAAAATTAACATTAACATTATTTATTTAAATAAGAAATGAAAAGAACAACATCAACGGTGATATTTACCATTCCATTTCTTATAAAAGAAAACGTTCAACCTGAAAAACTTTTGAAACCATAAGCATTACAAGTACCTTCTTTCAAACGCATGGCATCAGCACCGGTTCGTTTGGCACGTTCTGAACCAGCAAGGTCCACTAAATGGAGTTTAGCGCAAAATATATCATCACCGATATCATCAGCTATTACTCTATTCTGGCCATAATTAATTTTCTTTTGCTCCATGGTAACAGTAAAGATAGCATGCGAACGACTGCAAAATATTGTAATGAGTTTTATTTATAACAAAATTGATGTCTAATGTCAAATATCAATAAAATAAAATAAAAGAATAAATACTTGAAAAGTTGTACCTTGATTGACTATTCATGTTGGTACTTCCGGTAGCACGGGCCAGTGAACCACGAGATATATATGATGCCATCTCTTCTTTTGTCCTAACTTCTGCCTCAGTCACGCCAGCAAGTGTTATGCCTCCATTCACTGTTTCTCTGATTTGGATAGGAGCCCTTGATGGAACAACAGGCTTGGCCACAGATGACCAATCGCCTTTGTTCAAATTAGGCAAATTCGAATCAAGCAAGTCGAAGACCTCCTCCTTGAAAATCTATCAATTCATTGGAAAATCATATTTCAGTAAATACAATAGCAACGCATAAATTACCTGAAAACAATTGAAGCCTTTATTATATCTTATCGCACCTCAATAAATGAGACTCTTATCAAGAATTCTGTAGATTCTTTATCTGCCTCAACTCTTTCAAAAATATTTTCCATTACTTTAGGTATAATTCCAAAGCTACTTCCTTCACCGCTATAATTAGTCCCCATTGTATAAGTCTTTCCAGAACCAGTCTGATATCAGCATATAAACGCAGTTAATATAACAGTGAATGTAACTAACATTGAGATAATATACTCTGATTTAACACTAAGCGAACCTGGCCATAAGCAAGAACTGTGGCATTGTAGCCATGGAATAGTGCGTCAACCAGAGGTGCCACACAGTCATCATATATTTTACTAGAAGGTACAGCTGTGTTACCATACACGTAATCATAAGTAAATGCGTGCGATCCTATCTGAACCTGTTTTGGATAGAAAATAAAATTTCAAAATAAAAATAATATTAAACACAAGCGCTATTCTTCATTTCTTCTACAGAGAAATGCTAGCAAAACTTAAAAGCGTAAAATGACTCTGTAAAACAGTTATATAAGTTTATTATAAAATACCTGAGGTACACCCGGAACCAAGGTGATGCAATCTGTACATCCATTCAGAAGCTCAGAGGTGATGAGAGGCCGAATGTTGACGGCAACTCTAACACATTGAGACGAATCCTTTGCCTCGGAATCCATATCCGGTTTTCACGACCCGTCCTCGTTTTCCAGCCAATCCAGAAAATCCTAATCAATTGGGAAACCAAAATCCCTAAAATCCAAGTTTAAAAATGAAAAATCACAAACGGTAACGAACATTTTGAACAAAATAGAATCGTGAATATTTCAGCTAAATAGAATTTTGATCCGACAGTAAATTACCTGTTAGGTAAGGGAGATTGAATTGAGAATTTGAAATGTAGACAGAGATAAAGAGGAGCGAGGAAGAGCCAATAGCGACTGCGTTTTTTTGAAGATCGAGGGTTTGAAGATTTTAATTTAATAATTTTGTAATTTAACTTTGAATCTGAGAAAAGGCGCTCGGTTGAAATTCAAATTATAGGTCACGTGAGTGGCATGTGAGTGAGGAAATATGAGGCACAGACCGCACAGTGGCACACTACAATTTTTGACCCAATGAGCCAGCTGAGTCATAGAATTTTGAAGCTAAGCGGTCAAATTTTTTTAGAAAAATAATTTCATAAAAAAGCTCTAATATCACAGAAATTTCCATAATATTTGATCCTCCAGATAATGGCCATCTAAATTTAGTAATACGGGGAATTGGTTGGTTGGCCTTGTGGAGTGCCTAAGCAATTGGTTTTGGTTTTGTTATGGTCCTCCTGGAGTATGGCAATATTATGTCATTGTGGTCTATATATGTCCTCTTTTTTTTTTTTTTTTTTTTNGAAAAATAATTTCATAAAAAACCTCTAATATCACAGAAACTTCCCTAATATTTGATCCTCCAGATAATGCTATCTAAATTTAGTAATACAGGGAATTGGTTGGTTGGCCTTGTGGAGTGCCTCAGCAATTGGTTTTGGTTTTGTTATGGTCCTCCTGGAGTATGGCAATTATGTCATTGTGGTCTATATATGTGTCTATTTTTTTTATTTTTTTTTATTTTTTACAAATAAAACAGTTAAACATTACAATTTTTACTAAAATATTTTTGTCAAATAATGGAACAATCTACCTTAAAATTTTTAGTTTGTCTTATACTCTCACAAATCGTCATCTCTCTACCTGAATCCAATTGCATTATAAAGATATAATTTGAATATATGATCTAAATTTAGTCTTTTTTTTTTTTTTTTTTTTTTTGGGGTATTCGAAGGTGTCCAAGTCAACTTGTGCGTACCTTAACTAATCTCCCAGAACCTTGAAATTAACGGTCAGATAAGTCTCTAGTGACTACCTCTTATCAATAGTCGTAGAAATTCGAATTCAAGACTACTTAAATAATACACTTAAGAGTCTCCTTCTCACTTCTATTGGGTCTTCCATTTTCCCTTCATCCACATACAAGACCAAATTGGTTATTATTGATTTCAAGTTTTCTTTTACTAAGTAATCCATGTGATACAACTAAACTAACAAATCAAAATTTGATTTAGGAGTATTTGAGTCAAAAAGAAAAAGTAAACGTCTCAAATAATAAAAAATTCTTCATCTTAATATCTGTTTATTACATAAAAGCATGTGAATGGTACAAATTACCAATGGGTGTATAAAACAGTATGGGCCATCTCTTCAAATGGAAGCGCGGGTCGATTCTCAACTTGGGCCCTCAATTACAACGGTTAACTTATTTTGTCATGTTAGTGCTCTCTTTTTGCTAACATCATTACACCGCATGACGGCAATAAAAAAAGATTAAAAGAAAAAGGGTGGAATGAGTAATAACGAATTAACGATCACCCAGAGTCAAACTGAAGAACCTCAACCTATACATGATTAACAGGAAAGGAGGTAAAGTCTACAGGTTTAACACTCACAAAGTGACACGATTAGATGAGTTATTATATTTCCTTTGAGAAGTTTGGGGAACCTTATTTTCAAAATGTAACAATTTTGCATTAGATGATTGTTGATCGATAATTAACACAGACGAGGATGAGTAATATTTAGGGATGGGTAGAAAACCCGGCCCCGCGAGGACTTGACCTGCCCCCGGCCCAAACGGGATAGAGTTTCCTCGAATCATTCAGGATTTGGGCTAGCATTGGGCCTAAAATTAGTCCTGAAATTCGGGGACAAGTCGGGGTTAGGATAGGTCTTGCCTAGGCCTGGCCCCGTTTTATCACCGCCCTGAAATCCTCGGGCCAGTCCGTATATATATATATATATTAAAAATCAAACATATATTATACAATACCAAATTATAATTGTGTAAGTATTTTATGAAACTATATACAAATAGATAATAAATAAAACAGATTAAATATAATAAATCATTATAAATATTTGTAACATATATACATATATATATATATATAGTGATAATAGCTGCCATTATGATATTTCAAAATACTAAGCGTTGATTGTTTTTTGGACTGTTATGCAATTAAAGCAACAACAGTTTCAATTTTTAATTTAAAAATGGCTGTTATGCAATTAGTATAATGACAGTTTTTTGAGTTTTAATAGGTGAGTGACAGTTTTATGGGTGACTATTATGATTTCAGCTGTTATAATATTAATAAATTGGAGTAATTTGGTTGTTACTGTACTAATTATTAAGAGAGTAACATCTGAATATTTTGTGTATAAAAGGACTGATTCCTTTTCATTTGTGATATACTCCGATTGTTTTTGCTCCCATTTTCATATTGTGTCAAAACATTTTTTAGTTCTCATTGTTGATATCATATCATCACTAGTCGGTTACTTCTCTATTATTGTTCTAAATCTCTATTAGAGTGTGCACTATAAAAGAAGATTCGTCATTATATCCTGGAGGTCAATCCGCTATTAAGCTCTTTTGCACCACGAAGATTCTTCCAATAGGGGTGGAATTCTGATCTTAAGGACGGTGCTTTTGCATGCCTTGACGCTGCTGTCTTGCTGCTGTGTTCGTTGTTGTTTCACTGCTGTATTGTTGTTGTCTCTCTGATGTTTTCCTGTTGTCCTCTTATTGTTTTCCTGTTGTTTCACTACTGTTCTTTTGTTGTTTTGCTACTGTCTCTCTACTATTTTTTCTGTTGTTTCACTGCTGTTCTTCTGCTATTTTGTTACTATTCTTTCACTTGTTTGCTGCTGCTATTTTGCTACCAATTTTATTATTAAATTTCAACAAATGTATTATATATTATACATATGCTATTATCTATAATCATATGTTAATACATAATATATATGTGTAATTTATCATTTGGTGTTTTGATTGATTATAATAAATCAATAAATCATTGTAGATTTAATTTTTTTTTATGGTATATTATAATTTGGAGAAAATGGTAATAAGGACACAAAACCCCCAGACAGGGAATTCGGGGATTTTGGAGAACAGGCTTTATTCGGGGATTCCCCTTCGGCTTTCAGGTTGGGGCCGGAGAGAGGGGTCCCCGACCCCGCCTTGGCCCATGCCCATCCCTAGTAATATTACACCTACAACTTTTTTATACAAATTTTCTTTCATAAATTATGTGGTAAAAGATAATTGGATGAAAATTTATTTTAAATTTAAAATCACTAAATCATGTTTTGCCACATAAGTTTGTGAGAGAAAAATTGTGAGTATAGTATTATTAAATATTTTTTCTATAAAACGTCTCTAATTGGTGTACTAGCAAGCATTACAAAAAAAAAAAAAAAAAAAAAAAAGTGATATTGGTCATTAATAGAAGACTTGCTAAAAAATTAAAGCTAAATAACGAAACTATAATAGTGGTACATGATTGAAGATGTGTTCAAAGTGATTAATGAATTTACTCATATAAATACCAAGTTAACAAATTGATGGAATTAAGTGATGAACATGTAATGGATATTGACAATGCAAATTTTTGTTCTTTAATAATCAAGCGATTAATCTATTGTGACACATTCAAATGATAACACATTTAAGTTTGGAAACAAAAAAAAAAAAAAAAAACCAAATTGATGTATATTGAAAAGTAAAGTAATCAAATTGATTTAGTCAATATGTGTAAGTTATTTACAATGTAAAATAAAATTTTAATATTAAAGCATAATAGTAGTCAAATACAAAAATCGATGGTGACACCCGACGCATGAGATAAGGGATATGTTAACCTTAGTTGGACAGCTCCTTCGCAGCAACAATCATCCACCAGTTTCAAAGTAATTGTCTCAACTTCACTCAATAAGACGCCAATAATATAAGCATACCATACACGTGTCTTACCAATCCATCACGACAACTAGTGTTATGCCGTGTTGTGTTTTATCATCTCCACACAAGCTCTACTTCTGTCTTCCTCCACAAAAATGGTCCCGCGGCTGAATTGGTCTAGCCACACCCCCATCAAATCAAATTATATAATTATTTGATTTTGCTAATTATATGGTTACTTTAACTAATTTAAATCATTACATTTAACCATTTTTAGCTATGAATTTGACTTTTAGATTTCGAATATTACGAGGACACATTATAAATATCATCTTAAAAATCCTAAAATGTTCTTCAATATTTTTGAATTTATCCTTTTTAAAAGGATTTACCAAAATCCAATAAAAGATAAAAAGGACCGACCTTTGAGTTGAGTTGTCACAACTCACAAGGCGAAGAGGAAACAAGAGAAGAGAATTACGCATGAGGCGTACGTTAGCCCGACACAAGTCGCCACGAAAAGTGCACACAGTATAATAAACATTAAATTTGCTGGTCCACAAAAATTAGATTTGCACTTACTACATCCAAACTAAGAGTAAACACCTTTTCCCACCCAAGGTTTGCCTTCATGACACTATCCCACCCAAAAAGTTTCAAAATATCACTTTTCTACCAAAAGTATGTAGTTCGTCTACTATACAGAATACACTTTTCGATTCGACGGCCAATGAACAGAAACCTTGATCTAGGATGTTGGGGTTTTTGAAGAGTAAATGAAGTTAAGTTTTTTGGTGGTAACATGTTGAATTTTGGAGGTTGGATTTAGTCAGAATCTAACTTGGGAGGGGCGACTGCGTGTTACACAAATCGCTCGATTGTAGGAGATTGGCGAGGTTTTAGAGAGAATGTTTGAGGGGTTTTGGTGGTGATGATCGGGGGGAAAATGATGGTGGAATGGGGTCGCAAAGATGTTAGAATCTGCCAATGATTGGTTGGAATATAAATATTGGATGAGAAAGTGATATTTTAAAACCTTTGGGTGAAAAGGTTATTAAGGCAAACCTTGGATGGGAAAACATCGTTAACTCTCCAAACTAATATAATTGGACCCCGTCGCGAGTTAGAAAATTCAACCCTCCGCGTAAATTTAGCGTTATCCCGATTAATTTGAGTGTCTCCACAACGTTCCTGACAAAGGACCGGTTTCAACCAGAGGGAAGCACAGAGCAAGAGCGAAGATTTGACCGTTAGTCTCTGTTTCATTTCGCAGTAAGTACCTCGCTGCTCTCTTCTTGTTTTGTTTTCTTTGAATGGTGAGCAAATTTTGTGGAAAATATTTGCGTGTCACGCGTTTTTGAGAAAATGTGAGCGTTGTTTATGTTCTTTTATATAATTTTTTTGGCTGTGGATATCGGAACGGTGCCTGAATCATTTTTTGTTTTGTTTGTTATGGTTTATGATCTTTTTGTTATTTATTTGCTGTTAAATATATAATTATAAGTTATTTTCGAACTAAATGAGAGACATTTTTGTGTATAGGTTTTGGTTTTGGTTTTGGTTTTGGTTTTGGTTTTGGATTTTATTTTATTTTTCTCTTTTTTCCTTATATACTCTAAATCTTTTATTCTCTACTGTCTATTTTTCTGACAGTTTGGTTTCTGACAAGTGAGCAAAAAGGAAAAATGAAGATTTGTGTTAATCACTGTTTTATTGTTAAAAAATTAATTAAGGGCACAGTTATATTCAAACTTTTGATTTTCAAGGATCACAGGGAAATGGGAGCTTTAGATTTTTTAATCTTCATATTCTTACTTCTTCTTGTTAAGATGTGTTCGTAAGTTTTTTTTTTTCAATGATCCCTTGTACGTTTGACTCTTTTTTTTCCTTTCCCCCAAAGATTAAAATGTGTTCGTAAAGTGGTAATGTAATTGGAAAACTGAAGTATTTTCTAAGTAACACTTTGACAGGTTCCATACATGCTTTGTAACCTCTAGCTTATTTGATATCTTCACACATTTTCTTTAGATATATTATCGGGTTACGAAGGTGAAGCAAGATTGAACTGTGTTATGATATTGTTCCACTAGTGGTAATTGCATTCCTTTGCGACAATGACGTGTGCCAGTTCTATGCAATGGTCTCCGGGATCAAAAATTTACGGCAATTTTGGATGTTGTAATGTTTGTGTTGTAAGTAATTATTATCTTCCGAACACTACCCTCTTGCATAAGAGTTTCTTTTCCAAAGTTTATACCACTGGGTTATGTCTCAGTTCTTTTCCTTTATTGGCTTCTCTTAATAGGGTGTGACTGGAAAGGAACGATTACATATGGTTCACATTAATCTTTCATCACGTTTTATGGTATGCTTTTCCATGGATATATAAGGAATTTTTATATTTTTTAAATTTCTGTTGTCTTTGAACCTTCTATGTTATTTGAGTTATTGTTATTGAAATGATTGTCGTAGCGAGTTTATGATTTTTCCTTGTAGCATGGTTTATAGTGTCTCCATTCAATTTGATTGTTTAAAGGTTTTGCCTTGTTGACTGCTTTCATGCCCTTGTTATTATAGATTGATAGAGTCTGAGCACTCTAAAATTTCTGTTTGTTTCATCTTCAGAGACAGGATGCTTGGAGTCTTCATCTTTTAAGCGGTGTATGTGGACCAATAAATCCTTTATCTTCCAGGGGTAATGTTTTTCTCTGCCGATCTGTTTTAGTACGAGGTGGAGGAAATGAGATTCCTGTTCTGAAATCTGCTGCTGTGGTTTTGACAAAGTAATTTTTTTTTTAACTTTCCAGATTTTTTTTTTTCATGTTTATACTTAGACCCGATTTTTGGCTGGTCTTTACACAATTTCACACTATGTAAACACATTCGAACAATTTTAATTGCTGATAAGTTAATTCTGTTTTCATTCCATGGCTTTACATATACTTCTTCCCCATGTTACTGAATACTTAATCAGAAAAAAATTTCACTTTGACTTTTCAGGTCATATGATACATTGCGGGGAAACCCTGTAGTACTTCAGCTGATCCCAGCAGCTGGGATTATTGCTTTTGCTGCATGGGGTATTGTGCCACTCGTGCGTCTGGGCAGGGTTATATTCCTCAATGTAATTATTGTGACATTTCACTATTTGTTTTTCCCTTCCATGTTGGTGAAATCCTGAGTGGTTTGTTTTGCTCCTTTATTGTTATTTTGTGCAGAGGACTGATAGTAGTTGGAAGAAAAGTAGTACACACTACGTTCTGACCTCTTATCTTCAACCATTGGTGCTATGGACCGGAGCAACACTTGTCTGCAGGTGTGCCTCTGCACTGCAGAGCACTATAGTTAAATGATTTTGTTCTTCAAGGCATTATATTAGTACTGATGGGAGAGTTTATTTCAGGGCGTTAGATCCAGTAGTTTTACCTTCAGAAGCAAGCCAGGCTGTTAAGCAACGGGTCTTGAATTTTGTACAATCATTGTCAACAGTGCTAGCATTTGCCTATTGTTTATCAAGGTAAGTGTGTTCGCTACCAAATTCATTGCTTTAAGAAGCTGGAAATTGCGTTTATCAATCCACTAAGCGACTCTGTTTTAAGTGGAATATGAATTTTTTCAATGAAGAATTGTATAAATTCCTTGGTTAGTAAAATAAACTACTCTAGACTGTTCTCTTAAATGTGATTGATTGCAGTTTGTTGATTGCCTGCTCAGTTTTAATGTTGACCTGCTCTGGGGTTTTGAACTGTTTTGTAATATTCATATAAAAAAATTCTATTTGTAATGTGCCTCTCTTTGCAGCTTGATCCAGCAGGCACAAAAATACTTTCTGGAGACAAATGATTCTGATTCCAGTGAGGCAAGAAATGCAAGTTTCTTTACTTTTCCGGTTTGGAATTTTCATCAATTTGCTCATCCTGTTTTTATCACTTCCTTAAGATAATTTGCTGTGTAATTTTGTATTTTCTAAAATCTGTTGTGATGAATATCTTATCAATCTTAGATTTTGTTGCATACCCATGCCTGTTGCTTGTACTTATAATAGCTATTCCTGTTGAAATTAAACATGGCGCTTTGAAATTATATTAGCTTGACAAATTTGGTAAGTTGGTTTTCAGTTACTTTTTTGGTTGCTTGAGGGGCTTTAAGTTGAGCTGCCAAATATCATGAGAATTTAAGCCTGTATTAGCATATTATAATCTGGTGCTTGATTTCTGATGCAAACCAATGGACGGATGCAAGTAATTGGGGAGAAATTGATCTGAAAGATAACACAATAATTTGATAAGATTTTGAGTTGGATTTGTCTATTAAGATGAATAACTAATGTAAAATCAGTATATACTGAGGATTTCTATAATTGCCAGTATGGTCTGTTGGGTAACTTTTGTGGCAGGCTTTTTCTTCTAACTTATTTTCCTTGAATTTTGATCAAGGAGTTATAAAACCATAATTAAGCTATATTAAAGGCACTGGTAGAGTGAAACTAACCAAATATTGTTTCTAACACAGTTGTTTCTTGCTGTGGCAGATGGGCTTCAATTTTGCTGGGAAAGCTGTTTATACTGCGGTATGGGTTGCTGCTGTATCCTTGTTCATGGAGTTGCTTGGTTTCTCTACTCAGAGGTGGCTTACTGCTGGAGGTCTTGGTACAGTATTGCTCACGCTTGCCGGTCGCGAGGTAAGCTCAGTTTTGTTCTGGGCAATTCAGTTGAAAGCTCTAGATTTTTTTTATTCTTATCATGTTATGGATTGTCCTTAATATTCCTTTGGCTTGATTTCATCTGTTTGATGCATTCAGATATTTACGAACTTCCTTTCAAGTGTAATGATCCATGCAACGCGGCCATTTATTGTCAATGAATGGATCCAAACCAAGATTGAAGGCTATGAAGTTTCTGGCACTGTTGAGGTTTGTGTTAGTTTCTGTTGTCAATATCTTGGAGTCAGAGCTTTAGAACAAATCATGTATTATCTCTCATTGGTTTGCCTGCATCTGGACATGAGTGGGAGTATAAGTTTTGGTTCTTTTTGCTGAACAAATAAAAAAGTTAATTGTTGTACTTGATCCAACGTTTATGGGTTTCTTTTTAATTATGATCTTATATTGTACCAGCATGTGGGTTGGTGGTCACCGACAATTATAAGGGGAGATGATCGTGAAGCTGTTCACATTCCAAATCACAAGTTCACTGTTAGTGTGGTGAGGAATCTTAGTCAGAAGAGTCATTGGCGCATCAAGACCCACCTTGCTATCAGTCACTTGGATGTCCATAAAGTTAATGTGAGAAGCAATCTTAGTTCACCTTGTTAGAAATTTTTGCTAGTTAGAATATTTTGATCATATAATAACTTGCATTTCCCTGTTTTCTTTAGATTATTGTAGCTGATATGCGTAAAGTTTTGGCCAAAAATCCTCAAGTAGAGCAGCAAAAGTTACACAGAAGAGTTTTCTTGGAAACTGTAAACCCAGAAAATCAGGCTCTTATGGTAAGGCTTTTATGTTGTTTTCTTATTCTTTTCGGATGTTTTATTTATTTATTTATTTTTTTTTTTTTTTAAGGCAACAAAAATTTAATGGATTTTTTTTTTTTTTTTGGATTAAATTAATATCAAGTTATAATGCTCTATTCTTTTGATACCTGAATTTTGAAATATCTTCTCAATGTTATGATGTTGTATGTACAAGATGGCTTATGAGAAAGTTTCTCATAATTTTTGTTTGGCCTCTGTTTTATTCGTGCAAAACTGAGTTGTTTATGTTTATGAAATTTAAAAGAAGTTAGATTTTCAGTGTAGAATAAAAAGATGTCTAAAGAGTTTTTGAGTCCATTTTTCTGCAGTGTCGAATTCATCAAGTGCTTAGTGACTCATGTGGACTTCAATCTAAACTCCTGTTGGCCTCAGCCAATAACTTGGGTTTACCTTAGCTTTTATCTCAATTATTTTTTGAAAAAAATGAGAAATATTGAGAAGAGTGTAATGATTGTTTTGCTATTATGATTTCTTTCCTTCTTATTAGTTATGATGATTGCCTTTTTTACGAAGGTCATGACATCTATTCACTGGTCCATATTTTTACAGATTCTGGTATCTTGCTTCGTGAAAACTTCACACTTTGAAGAGTACCTCTGTGTTAAGGTAAAATTAGTTTACTAACAGATGCTTTGTGCAATTGCATGCTGTAAATGTAAAGTAAGATTTCACAGAGATAAAAATGTGTAGTCTTGCTATTGTTACGTCAAAATTGCAAAATGGACCCTCGGCATTTATGATTATAATTACGTTTGTTTTGGTGAAATCTTGAAGAAATTGTCAATTATGAACACAATTTCTGAGATGTGAGATACCCCAAATAGTCCATGTAGATTCATCCATTCCTTTCTGCTCATCTGCTTTTGTTAATCAATTTTATTCTTCGTATAAGGGATGTGCTACAGTGACATACTACTGTTAGTGGCATTATTAATCTGCTTTTGATGTTTCCAATGTATGCTACTGCAACCCCCCCTCCCACACCCACACACACAGAGAGAGTCAGTCTGTGTGCCGTTATTTATTCTGTTAGTGAGTGAGGAACAAGGAGTTGAGCACGCTTTAAAGACTAATCATTGCACTGAAACAGGAAGCAATACTTATGGATCTTCTCAGAGTTGTCAGCCATCATCAAGCCCGTCTGGCCACTCCCATCCGCACAGTTCAAAAAATTTACAGTGAGGCTGACTTGGAGAATATACCTTTTGCTGACACGATTTTCTCACGTTCTAGAGCACCTGCTAATCGCCCATTTCTTCTCATTGAACCTGCTTATAAGATCAGTGGTGAAGAGAAAGTTAAAGCTTCAACTCGTCCAGTGCAAAATGAAGAAAAAGATGCTAAGGTTGAAGCAGCCTCAACATCTGGCTCCAAGGTAGATTCAAAGGCTGGATCAGAGTCAATTCTTGAGACTAATGGAGACAAGGTAGCATCAACAGCTGCTTCCAATGCCAGTACAAAGTCCCAAAGTGGGAATGTGGTGCAGGATAATTCAGTTCAGAACAAGAATGAAGAAGAGCCAAATGAAAGCATTGGAGATGCAGGGAAGAAGACAGGGAAAGTAACTAGGCCGACTTTGGAAGAGAACATTGTTCTTGGTGTTGCTCTAGAGGGCTCAAAAAGGACTCTTCCGATTGATGATGAGTTGGCAGCATCTTCTCTGTCTGCAGAGTCAAAAGAATTGGCTGCCAGCCGCAATGGGAGTGGATCTCCGGCTGTTAGCAAAGAGAAGAAAGATGGTCAGATGCCGGCAGTTCCACGTCCTGGTGCCAATCAAGCTGACTAGTAGGATAGAAATTATGGAGAGAGGCTGTTTTCGATTGGTGTTGTGCAGAAATATGCATGCGGCTGTGTTTTTAAAGCTGGTGTACTACAGTTTGTACGTATGTCATCAATCGACTGATTGTAATTAATTGTTGAAACAAAAATTTGGGCCGATAGGGCTTATTACTTGGGATATTAATTTGGTATATCAATTGTTACGGAGTTACAAATTGCAAGTTATGGATACTTTAATCGAAGGACTAATCTCCAAGTTAATCACCCTGGAGGGTAAACTAATAATTTTCTAACATTTGCGATGGAAGCTAACTCCCAAAAATCAAAATAAATGTAAAATTTGGTGGTGACAGTTACAGTATACAGCATTAAGTTGTTTTAAATTTTAATAGGTTGAATCTTGCTGATTGGTAAAACCTGTAAGATCAGATATGTTCTCTTGCATACTGTTGAACTCGGGTTGTTTACACTTTACAGTCGTGAATAAAATTTTCCGCATATTTCGTGTTACCTTTTTAAACATGTATATACATTCACAAATTTGAACTTTAAACTTGAAAACTTGCAACCCAAATTTCACCTCCTCTCCTCTACCTACATATGCGAAAATATAAAATCACTAAAAAGACTTGTAAACAGTTATAGAACGAGAAAATGAGCTTCTTGGTTTCATTCACAACGATCTTGGAGATTTAAAACAAGCCATGACCAGAGGAGGAAAAAGTTTTATTAACTTTTTATGAGATACTCTAGATTATACTTATTGAGAGTAAAGATGAAGCAATTAAAATGTTCTTAACATATAAAATGAAGTTGAAAATCAACTCAATAAGAAAATTAAAAGGTTAAGAACAGATAGAGGAGGTGAATATGAGTCAAATGACTTTGATTCTTTTATAGAGATCATGGTATTATACATGAGACTACACCTCCTTATTCCACAGTCTAATGGAGTTACTGAGAGGAAAAACAGAACTTTAAAGAAATGATGAATGCTATATTGATTAGTTCTGGAGCACTTTAATTGTGGGGGGAAGCGATGTTTTAGCTGTTACATACAAAAAAAATTCCTTTTAAGGAAACAGGCAAAACACCATAAGAACTCTGGAAAGGTCATGTACCTAACCTGAATATTTTAAGTGTGGGGGTGTTTTGCTAAAGTTCGAATTCTTGAACCTAAAAGGAAAAGGTTATGACCTAGGATTGTTGATTGTATGTTTGTAGGTTATGCTCAAAACAGTGTTGCTTATAGATCATGGTAATAAAGCAAAAGGTTGGTTTGTATGATGCAAACACAATCATTGAATCTAAAAAACGCAAATTTTTTGAGAATGTTTTTCCTAAGAAAATCAATTATAAAAAGGCTTACCTTAAAATGAAACTTTTGAGAGTGTTCCTCAAAATGAAACTTTTGAGAGTTTCCTCAAAATGAAACTCTTTGGAATTCTTCTGAAAGTTCAGAGTTAGAAATAAGGAGAAGTAAGAGAGTTAGAAAAGCCAAAAGTTTTGGTGATGATCACTATGTCTTTCTTACAGAGAATGATCCTCAGACTTATGAGGAAGCAATGACTTCTCGAGATGCACTTTTGGAAAGAGGCGAGTAAATAATGAAATTGAGTCCATTATGATTACATACATAGGAAGTAGTTAATTTGCCACCAGGAACAAACCAATAGGGTGCAAATGGATATTTAAAAAAAATTAAAGACTGATGGATCAATTGATAAATACAAGGCAAGATTGGTTACCAAAGGTTATACACAAAAGAAAGATATAGATTATTTTGACACTTAGTCCCTGTAACAGAATAGCATCCATTAGAGTGTTAATTGTTTTAGTTGCAATTTACAAATTACATATACATCAAATGGATGTAAAGACAACTTTTCTTAATGGAGACCTAGGTGAAGAAAATTTATATAAAACAACCAGGGTTGTGGTATCCCAGGTAATGAGCATAAAGTGTGCAAATGTGTAAAATCTCTTTATGGACTTAAACAAGCATCAAAACAATGGCATGAGAAGTTGACCAAGTGTAGTCTCAAATGAGTTACAATCAATGATTAGATAAATGTGTATATTCTAAATCATTTGAAGACAACAATTAGTGATAATATGTCTTATGTTGATGACATGTTAATATTTAGTGCTAATATGGATGTGATAATTTAGACTAAAGAGTTTCTTGCCTAAATTTGATATGAAAGATATGGGAGAGGCAAATGTTATTCTTGGGATTAAAAATCATTAAGATAAATGATGGTCTCAAGTTATCACAACAACACCATGTTGAAAATTTCTTAAGAAAATTGGGTATTTAGACAGTAAACCCGTCTCAAATCCTTATGATGGAAATACTCAACTCAAGAAAAATACACAACACAATGTGAGTCAAATAGATATGCCCAAATCATTGATAGCCTATGTATTAATGAATAGTACAAGGCCTGATATGCTTATGCTGTCACTAGATTGAGTATGTATACTCATAATCTAATAAGAGTCATTGGATAGCATTAGACAGAGTTGCTAGATATTTGAAGGGCACCATTGATTATGGGCTAACGTTTGGAAGTACACCATTGTGTTAGAAGGATATTCGATGCCAATGGATATCAGATTCAGATGAAATAAAATCCACAAGTGGTTATATCTTTACACTTGGTGGAGGGTGTTGTGTCATGGAAGTCTCTAACCAAACTTGCATAGCTCGGTCTACCATGGAGTTTGAGCTTATCGCCTTAGAAAAGGCATGTTTTGAGGCTAAGGGTTAAGGAATTTCTTAGCAGATCTTCCCATTGAAACTCACCTCCTATTTCAGTATCAATCCATTGTGATTGTCAGGCCACAATAACGAGAGCAAATAGCAAAATTTATAATGGGAAAAGTAGACATATCCGAATAAGGCATACCATTATAAAACAGTTGCTAGAATCTGGGGTCGTGAGCCTAGATTTTGTGAAGTCGGAGTTAAATTTGGCCGATCCTTTACTAAACCATTAAGCGGATGTTAGTGGAATACACTTTAAGGGGGATGGGACTTATGCCTAAAGCATAAGGCAAGAGTGATGGTAACCCTACTTATGTGATGTGGGATCCCAAGAAGTAGGTTCATGAGGAAATAACAAGTCACTTGTTGTTTTATTAAGTATTATCGAATTTTATCTATAGAAAGTCCTCATATGGCGAGATAATACTGATTACAGTGAATAAGGTTGAGTAAAATTACTCTTAATGAAATCCATAGCCAACATAAATAGTGGTGTGAAAACTGCAATTCGCACCTTATGGAGGTTCACCTATGTGAGTGTGGAATGGGTCGATTCCTATGAGAGCTTAGGCAAGCATCTCTAGAGCACTCATGAAATCCAGGCTAGCATGGGCCATAAAATGCTAAACGCAGAACAATATACAATATTGAGAATTAGTGTGAGGAACTAATCCTCTGAATTACATAAAGAAATTTTGGTTCATAGAAACTTAGTTTCACCAAATTTTTGTAACTCACGTTTAGTTACTCAATAATTGGTTCATAGTCTAAAAGACACCAACTCATAAACATTAAATTCTAATCAGTGGTGATTGGTTCTTTTGAAATATGTGGGGGATTGTGATAATAGTTGCCATTATGGTATTTCAAAATACCAAGTGGTGCTGAATTAAAGCAATAACAGTTTCAATTTTAATTTAAATTGGTTGTATGCAATTAGTATAATGACAGTTTTTTGAGTTTTAATAGGTGAGTGGCAGTTTATGGGTGGCTATTATGATTTCAGCTGTTATGATATTAATAAATTAGAGTAATTTGGTTGTTACTAATTAATTATTGGGAGAGTAACATCCAAAAATTTGTGTATAAAAGGACGATTCCTTTCATTGTGATATACTCCAATTGCTTTTGCTCCCATTTTTCACATTGTGTCAAAAAACTTTTTAGTTCTCATGTTGATATCCATCACACTACTTGGTTACTTCTCTATAATGTTCTAAATCTCTATAGAGTGTGCACTCTAAAAGGAGATTCATCATGTATCCTGAAGGTCAATCGGCTGTTGAGCCTTTTGCACCACGAAGATCTTTAGTAGGGGAGAAATTCTGATCTTAAGGACAGTGCTTTTGCACGCCTTGACGTTGCTGTTTTGCTGCTATTCGCTACTATGTTTATTGCTGTTTCATTGCTGTATTATTGTGGTTTGTGTGTCTATCTACTATTTTTTGCTGTCTCTTATATTTTCGTTGTTTTTGTGTTTTGCTGCTGTCTTCTGTTGTTTTCTTGCGGCTCTTGCTATTTTTGCTATTTTACTGTTGTTCTTATGCTGTTTTGTTACTGTTCTTTTATTGGTTTGCTGCTACTATTTTGCTGCCAATTTTATTATTAAATTTCAACATATGTATTATACATTTACAATGTATTATTATAATCATATGTTATACGTAATATATATGTGTAATTATAATTTGGTGTTTTGATTAGTTATAATAAATCAATAAATCATTATAGATTTAATTTTTTTTTGATGGTATATTATAATTTTGAGAAAATGGTAATAAGGATACAAAAACCCCAAAAGAGAGAATTCGAGGATTTTGGGGAACAGGCTTATTCGGGGATTCCCCGAATCCCCAAACTAGCACGGGCTGGGGTCGGGGAATTCCTGGCTTTTGGGCCGAGGCCGGAGAAAGGGTTCCTGACCCATGCCATCCCTAGTAATATACACACACAACATTTTTATACAAATTTTCTTTCATAAAATTATGTGGTAAAAGATAATTGGATGAAAATTTATTTTAAATTTAAATTACTAAATCATCTTTTGTACATAAGTTATGAGAGAAATTCTACAAAAAATTGTGAGTATAGTATTATTAAATATTTTTTCTATAAAATGTCTCTAATCGGTGTACTAGCAAGCATTAAAAAAGAAAAAAAGAAAAAAGTGATATTGGTCCTAATAGAAGACTTGCTAAAAAATTAAAGCTAATAACGAAACTATAATAGTGGTACATGATTGAAGATTGTGTCAAAGTGATTAATGAATTTACTCATATAAATACCAAGTTAACAAATTGATGAATTAAGTGATGAAATGTAATGGATATCGACAATGCAAATTTTTGTTCTTTAATAATCAAGCGATAATCTTTGTGACACATTCAAATGATAACACATTTAAGTTTGGAAACAAAAAAAAAAAAAAAAAACCAAATTGATGTATATGAAAAGTAAAGTAATCAAATTGAT